CGATGAAGAAATTGATGTACTCTCTCTTGTGAACCACGATAATTGCCACTCGGAAAAATTAGGTATTCGAAAGAAATATCGATAGTTTCTCTTTCTTCGATAGTCTCAAGCTCTGAAGCCGATAGTAATTGCCATTTGAAGGAATTGCCGGCAGATAATATTCTTTGCTTTTCTTTTTTAAATATTCGAAGCTCTGAAGTCGATAATCGCGGCTCGCAGAAATTAATCAAACATAATATCGCGTGTTTTGTTTTTTTTCTTTTTTGCTTTTTTTAATATTTCAAATTCTAGAGTCGATAATTTACCGTTTGAAGGATTCAATGAAAGATTATTTTGCTTGCTCTCGTCTTTATCATATTTGAAGTTCGAAAGTGGAGGATTTCGTCGTTTGAAGGAATCATTGAGAGATAATATTGCTTGTTGTAGAGTTTGTAATATCTTAAGTTGCAAAGTCGATAATTGCTGCCGTTTGATTTCTCCAGTTTCTTAGAGCGTCGACGGGATCTTGGACAAATCAATCCTCCCCTGACAATTTACTTACCTCTGGCTTTAATTATCCCATTATCATCTCGACGAACCGTAATTACCTCGTTAACTTCTAACGAACTCCAATCTGTATCGCAAGAGAGCGATTTTATTCCTCTCGATCGATCCGAGTACGTCCAAGCTGCTCGTGTTTCTGCAGTCCAGTTGGTTGCAAAACATACAGTCTCTTACATAAGCCTACGTACATTCTTCAATTCTGAAATAATTATAACAACGATGATTAGATTGTGTTGAGAAATCGTATCAAATTTTATGTTGATTGAACTTATATTTAAATTTACTTATATATGTACGACTTACATATTCAAATAAGTTACACAATTCATTAAAAAAGCAGACTTATTATTACATTAATATCTTTAGAACCCAAATATGGAATTTTATTAAATTTACATTGTATAGGAAAATGATATACGTAAAGAAGTACATGTATAAAAAACGAAAACATGTATAAAAAATACAAATTTATATTCCGCTGCACAGGTATCAAAAACGACCTACAATTTACGATTTTTCCGGCATCTACTATGTCCTTTTCTATAAATCAAATACGTAAAATTCAATAAGCGTACACAGACCTGTGTGTCCGACTGCACATTCTTTTACGCTGTGTGCTTATCAACATTTCAAAATTAACAATTCGACCATCTGCCAGCCTCCAATCGTCCGTCTGTCGAGTTTATCTAATCATCGACGTGCTTATAATATCATTTCCGTCAGTTCTGTTTAATTTGCACTTACCTCGGCTCGTTCCTACAACGATTTTCATATCCATCGATTTTTCTTTTTACGTATTATTTTATTGGTTTTAGCATCTACGTCTTTTTTCTCTCGTGACACCGTTTACTTTTCGATAAGGGTCGACCAGTCGATTTTCGCTGCGCATATATCTGCAAGGAATTTCTATTTGGCGTTCAAATCACAAGTTTCGTCGACAACAATGGTCATTCTATCGAACCCAGCCGATTGATCTCAAAGAGAATATTCGGATGAGATCGATGCTCAGATCGATCTCTATTCTTCATTGCAATGGTGAGATGCGTCTTCTTCGTGAAGCTTGCAAAACCACTTATTTCACTTTCATCTTCTAGCCTAATTGTATTCGTCGACAAACCATCCATTTGTCCGATTTCCAGGTTTCCTCGAAGTTTACGGGCAAAGTTCGCTAGCCAGTTGCTTCGTTCAGTACACAAATGCTTTTGTTCGTTTCCAGTCGCATATCGGTGAATGAAGCGCGTGTTTCATACATTACTGTCATTACTACTTAATGACAAAGTCCGCAATCAGTTAGTTGCCGACCCAATACAAGAGCCGCAATATGTAACTGCTCAAGATGCGGTCGCAGAAAGGTCTAGAAATTGCCCAGTCATGTTCGTATGTTACTGGAGACGAGTAAAAGCAGGAAGCGTTAAAACTTATCCGAGATTGAGAATTTGCAGAGATTCGGTATCAGTATTAATTTTAATTCTAAGAGTATCGGAATAACAGCTTCACGAATTGTTTATAGATTGTCGATAATTTGAGTAAGATACTCAGAATGCCCGAAACTTTTGGGAGTTAGAAATTTTCTATATATATATAATATATACATTTAGTTTGTATATAAATATTCTATAATATTTATTTATTTATTCCATAATATATTTCATAATAATCGAAGCAATAGATGCAGGAACGCTTGTAGATTTAAATTGTTTATACACCGAGTGCGGATCGTAAAACTTCTCAAAATTAAAATATTTTACAGATTTTCCAGGAAGATTGATTCTAGGGCTATCAAAGTTTGACACGTTTATGCTATAGCTATGACGCATAATAATTGAAGCAATTATTGCAACAGATGCAAAAATATTTGTGCATTGTCAATAATTTGTGAGACACTCGGGAAGCTTGAAACTTGTGAAAACTAGGAAATTCCGAGAGATTTATTTTCTGTACTAATTCCATGGCTGACGAAGCTTAATCAGATATCTGTTTCCATGATGAAAGTTACAGTAACGAATGCAGGAATATTTCCGGATTATCAATAATTTCTAAACTAAGTACAGATCTCGAAACTTTCCCAATTGAAACAAATTTGTAAAGATTCGTCATCGGCATTAATCCCAAAGCTATCTAACGTTAACAGAACATCTATCTCTATGGTAGAAGTTGAAAAGTAATTCGTCAGTCATTTGTTAGTTTCCCGTGACTAATCGCAAAAGTGTAATAGAAGGTTTAAAAGTATTCAGCGTCTTCGTACAGCCAGTTTAGAAATTCGTTTCCAACGCTTCTCTATATTTCGTAAAATTCTAATTCATATTCTAAAGCAGTTACAAACATCCACTCAAATTGTGCACAGAAGTTTGCGAACGGCTTTAGAAAATACTTGTAGTCCGATTTAATCTTCTCCGATGCTTCAGTAAATCTGAAATCAATTATCAAAATCACTTTGCATATCCCTCGGTCAAGAATTCCAAACAATTTCAAGAAACACTCGTGCCATAAATTCGCTGCCTTCCGATGCTTCTCTAATCGAATCCTAAATCCAACCAATAAATATCGCGCGTATTCTCTCGCCAGAAAACAGTTCCAGAGGCAATCAATCTATTCGATAGAAACATTAAGATCGCGTTATATCGATTAGAAGTAAATCAGAAGATCGGTGACGTTGGACAATCAAATCTCCGTTTATCCACTTCCTCGATACTTGCTCTAACCATTTCGATTTACTCTTTTGGCCACTCTCGATGCAATGCCCTCGATCTTGGCGATCCAATGGCCAGCTACGGACGCCGGCAATAAGTTTGATTGGGCTAACAAATTGTCACGCTCGTCTCGAGGAGGAAGAGTCGACGTTCAGTCCACTTCTTCGTAATGGGTAATTGTGGTTGGCGCACTGGAATCGACCGGGTGCGTGTCCTAAGTAAATAATAAAATCGTTTCGCTACGGGCATACGTCAGTCTGTCGTGTGACACGCATTCGTTCGGACTCGCTCGTGTTGGTCGCAACGAGCGTCTGTCGATTTGAAATTCGTCCGCGATAGCGTTCAAACTTTTCTCATTTTCTTCCTCGTTCGTTCGGATAGAGTTATCAAAGTCAGAAGAATATTTCAGTCAGACTAACTATTATGTACATGTCATTTGTCGTGTGAACGCGTGAAATTCGATTACAAGAAGCAAAAGTTGAACCATCTACATCTGCAAAGAGATTATGTAACTCGTTATTAACACCGGCGTGATAAACTGTGAAATAAACGTATCGCGTACTTACGTTGCAAGCTCAACATCGCAGATCATGGTTATCTACGAGGACGTAATTTCTATTCGTCAAAATGAAAGTCCGCGAGGCTAACGTCGATATTCTCAGCTGCAACTGACGTAATTCTGTGGCGGGTGTATATTACTTTATTTCTACGAGTTAATTTGTTTCTTTCGTCAGTTGTTACACGATAGAAGATCAAACAACCCTACGAGAGGATCGTTCCAATTGTTTCATCGTTTTTCATTGTTTTAATAACACTGGTTCATACTATACAAGTTTGATTATTTCGTGCATAGTTCAAGATCGTGCTTCAAGGTATTAAAATTCGGCTAACTCGGATAACTCTTATCTTATCATGTTCCTAGAAATTACGGTTGTTCGTTTGACGTGGAATATGAATTTTCCCGGTGTAGCCGCGTTTTGTGAGTAATCTAACCGTTTAACAAGCCCAGGGACTTGTTCCAGATGGAACTAGAGAACGGTAGAATTGAGTAGGATTTCGATTTAAAATGCGGTCCACGTTATTGCTCTTACGACTGCATTCGTTTCTTCTACTCTTCTTATTTCTTTCTCCTTTTTTTTTCTTTTTCTTTTCTTGTCTTCTCGGGAGAGTATTGATTTTTACTTTTTGTTTGTTCGCGCGAGTGACGGCGATTCCACGTATCGATGTTTTTAATGTCGTCATAAAGAGAGCTATTAACCTTGATGAGAAACGAAGTATATTTATAGGCTGTAATCCAAATGGACGCTTATTTCTCGCCGCAACAAATATATTTCGCGATACCTGACATTTGTCGTAAATTTTTCTTTCGACACTTTCAGTCGTTCGTAGGAAATGTTCATCGTGTTTGCCCGACCAAAGAAAGAACAGTCTGTGTTTTATCTACCGGAATATCGTCAGCGTTTGAGGTTACTGTGAGAATGTGACATTTCAGCTTACTTAAACCAAAGAAGAAAGGAGTCTTTTCCTGCCAAAGAAAATCAAACGTAACATGAGTCTCTATCGAAGGATATATTTAGTCAAACATTGTGCATATTCAACGAAATTGTCAACGAGGATAGTCACGAGTTATGAAGAAACCGAATGTGATATCATACGTAATACACTGTGCGTGATCGCACAGGTTAAGTTGGCTGAGATCGAGAAAAACCAAATGAAACTTTCCGAACATTAAAAGAAATCAGCCGCAAACATCGAAGGATCCTCCAGATGAAATTTCGCAAATTATCCGCGTCCAGTCCCAAAATGGAATTGCTCTCGAGGCGATCGTCGAGCGACAGGATGTCGACCTTGAAGCGGTCGAGATCCTTTCGTGCATCGATAAAGCTCATGTCGAAGCTGCGAAACCACGCGAGTCTTCGTTTAAACTCTGGTTTCGATCTTTCCCCGGTACCACTGCGAGACACGAAGAAACGCCGAAATCAAACGTCCCTCGTAGAAGAGACCACGTGGCCAACCAAAAGCCCCGAAATTCCTCCAAACGATTCGTCGAAAGACTCGTCGAAAGACTCTGACAAGTCCCTCAACAGTCTCTCGACGTCTCCCAGCTTGGGACATTCGATTTCCTCGAGTGAGCTGGAGTCTCGTAAAATCACCAGGGACCTGAAGAGCAAGTTGTGCCTTACGGACAGAATAATGGGCAAGAGTCGCAAGGAGCAGGAGAAATCATCGAAGAGGAACAACGACGCCTCGTCCCCGAGAGTAACTCATATATTTCGTTGGAAGAGCAACGAGGAGACTTCGTCCATGTCGAACGGAGAGAAAGAGAAGAGAAACCTTCTCTGTGGTAGCCAGTTGTCCTATGAGAATCCTACTTTCCGGCTGGACAGTTCCTTGGACTCGTCCTTTTCCAGTTTCGTGTTCGAACCTGAGCATTCTGATCACGTCGAAACGAAGGAAGAACGCCCCGTCGAGAAGTCGTATCAGGATACTGGGTTAACGATAGTCGTAGATCCCGCCAGACCAACGGAAGATGAAACGAGGAAATCCGCCGAGGACAGAACCGTGTTCGACATGGAGGCGAATTTCGAGTGCAATAAGAACAATCGTCCCGTGTTCACTGTAACGAAAGCTAGGAGCTTGTCGGTGAACGACGTGATTTTACAAGACGAAGAGGCGGCGAGGAGTAGTTTGGCGTTGAACACGGTAGATGGGACGACGTTGTTCGACTGGCAAGCGGATGACCGCGGGATCGAGGCGACGGAAAAAGGGCGGAAGGATGGCGAGAAAGTTCGAAAGACTTCGGTTTGCTCATCCAAGTCCTGCAGGATCAGGACGGTGGATAATATCGCGAATTTTTGGACCAATGCTCGCGGTGGAAGCTTTCGTAGCAAGGTGACGGTGGGCAGGAAGAAGTCGATGAAAGACTCGAGGGATGCCGAGTCCATGGATAGGATTCTTGTCACGACCACTTCTGGATCAAGTATGGGCTATCAGCTTTTTTGAGAATTTGTCGAATTTCTTCCGCTAAATTGGCTCATATTTTAGAGAGCATTTAGAAGAGAATTCTTTTCTACCATACGAAGTTTTAATATAATATTTTACATTAACGATTATTATATATTACTGTAATTAATGTAGATAGTCAGATTAATATATGATACTTGATATCGTATACTCGAGACACGTGTCTCCTTCGAATTCTTTAAATAAACTGGATCAATCCTTTCGGTCTGATCATATGTTATGAGAAACAGGGAATAAATAGGAATATTTTAGCGGAGAGTTATAATCAATGCGATATTACGATTAATATAGACAGTCGGATTGCATAATTTCACATATACATTCAGTGAATAAACCTTCTTCGAATTCTTTAGGCAAATTGAATTATTTAGCTGAAGTGTCTGTTGATAAATCACAATGCCTACACAGGACACTCTACGATAGCAGGATAGCAATTATTGAGAGCAGGAATGGACTAAGCCACACTTTCTCTGAATTTCTGCCAATCTATGATTCGCATGAATTTATTCCAAAGAAGCGGAGAAATTCATTTTTCTAAATAAAACCAACTAACGTACCAAAGCGAATCGTTGCACACCTATCTATTTTTAACAGCGAATTACTTTATTTTGTGAATATTGCTGTTAGTCCACTTTTACTCTCAATATAAGATACGTTGCTGCAATATCGTATTTATTAGGTCGATAAATATATTACGAAACAAGAGTAATTTTATCGATTTTCCACGTATATAGTGAAGCCAAGGGGAAGAGATTTCCTTGCAGACCGCTTATTGCAATTTATTTTTCTTTTCTAATTGCTACATTTGACACTGCAGGCGAGAGAGAGGAGAAGAGAGCGAGGACGCGCGAATTCTTCAAAGGAATTTTAATTAGACGAAAATTACGCAATACGTAATAAGAAAGAATGAAATATTCTAGTTTTCGCGAAGAACACTCTTCTCCTCTGTGTTTATCTTTGTACAAGAATGTTGAATTAACTATATGTATATACTGCGTTAACACGAATAGAAACGAAATTCTGCTCTCCTACGGATTATGCGACGGTTGGTCTGCACAATCGAGTTACAGTCGTCAGGATTTTGTTATCCATTGGGTTAGCAGCTAAGTGATCGCGGATTTTGTCATTACATGGTAATGACACTTAGTTGTCAACCCAATAGTTACACGAATGAAAATCCTTTTTTGCGTCCGTCGTCGTCCAGCCGTGTGCTTATTTATTTATCTCTGCACGCGGAAAGACTTTCCTTGCAATTTTTTCCTCTGGCGGATTGTCTTTATCCAGTTGCTTTGATTTGTGTTCACGCAGAGCTGTACTCTTTGCAAGGGATGGAGTTCCTGGAAGGTTTCGGCAAGAAAAAACAACAGCCAAATCAACAATCGAACAATATTTCGTCGGTGCACATCAATCCCCTAACGGCACAGTCTCTCAACATACACCTGCATGGTATCTTTGATTTTTTTTCTTCTTTATTTGCCATTCATTTCTTTAAGAAGTTCCTATTTTTTTAAACATTTACAGCGATGAAGAAAAGTACTAGCATAAGTTAACTTGGAAGATTCTATAGTAATTAAAGTCATATGTATTCCGTTTCTAATTAATTTTGTAATGTAATTTTGAAAGCTGAATTTTCAAAGACTGAGAGCTAATATTATGATTTCGCTTGTCTTCAGAAGCAATTGTACGTAGATCTTTTATTTTTGAAGAACTGAAATTGTAAAAATTTTCTATGTCAACTTTGGTATTATTTTGACATTACACTTTTCGTCCTGTGTGTGTTTCTAAACAATTCCAGTGTCGATTTTACAAGAGAAATCTCACGTTTCGTTGAGAACAATTATTATTAATTTTTACTACACGTCTGTTTAACGTCTAATGAATTATGATGTACTTAAACTTCAACCTCCAAAGCGATATTTGATAAACAAATTAGATAAAGAATCGTACGTTTCATAGATTTATACGGAACTGTACATGTCCATACTTTTGTTCATCACTGTACAATTTCTTTTTTTGGTCAATTTTTATTCATTTATTTCTTAGAGTTCTCATCTATAGTATTTTCTTCGTTATTTTAATACATTTGATGTTTCTTACTTCGAAATGAATTAATAAGATATAACGAGCGTTTACCGGTTCGTTAAGGAACAATGAAAATTTCCAACGTTCTTTCCACGAGGAAAATTACTGTTTCCCTATGAACGGTGGTTTCAATTTATTCCTCGTTTTGATTTTTCCAGCCCTCTTCGCAGCCGTGGAACATGGCCATCTCGACAAAGCCAGAACGATTTTGGAGTCGACAGACGTGGATGTGAACAGGTGAGTTTCCGAATATTTTTCCGGCTTTTGATAGAATTTCATTTCGCCTCGAGTTGGAACATTTTCACGGTTCGTTTGGAAACGTTTTAATAATACATGCTTCACGTGCAATGAAGAATATACATTTCGAATGAAATTCTCACGCACAAGCGGAAAAACAAAAATGTAACACTTCGCAAATGGGAAAAATGTTGGCGATATAACGCGCTGGTTCGATGACTGAGGCAAAGAACCGGCCAACGATGGCACTCCACGTGATTCTGATGTAGGTTAATTGCAACTGTTAATTAATTTCGCCGGCAGCCCCAGAAAACAAGCCAATTAACATAGGATTGGACGATGGATCCTCTGAAACAAGCACCCGATTCCTATTCCCAAAGTTTATCGATTTTTTAAAGCCATTGTAGTTACCTGATAATTATTCTCTTTTGTAATTATTTATATCGTCTTAATCGTGGTTGACCATGTGGACAATTAATTAGAAACCTTTATAATCGTTATTTGACCTGTGAATTATCTATGAAAATTAGTACTGTTGTGAGCATAATTGAGGAAAATGAGTTATATTACGACGAGTGTTCTAATTTAAACATTTTACATATTTTTGCATATTACGCCTGCGTTTCTCAATTTTTAAATTTTCCGTAAACGAATAGAAACTAGCGTTGTTAAAAGCTGATAAAGACGAATCAGTTTCAAGTAGGTCGGTCTTAGTCCTTGCAAATGTAGATACAGAGTGTAATCTATTTTTAACCAAAATGAAATAATATGTAAAAATGTATGTGAAAATATTTTTATGAATATGTTTTTGTAAACGTAACTAAAAAAAATAGAATATAGGGAGAGATTTATTTCGTACTTCAAATATTTTGTTGATTTTCGTAGACCTACTATTATGCTCATTTTTAGATTTTCCATAAATGAAAAAGAAATTCGCCTATTAATTATATCTACTAGCAAAAGTGATGACTTTAATTTGCCTTCTCTAGTGGTACACGATAAATTTTGAAGTAACACGTCCTATTAGATTTTCAGTTAAAATTGAAGACTATTATTTCGATGTAACTATAGATATTTTATTTTTCACAAATCATATCGCCAGAAGAGTAACAAGGAAATTTTCATTGATTTTCACATGGCTGATCCGTTCGATTATTCGTGGAAATTATGGAACGAGAGAAATTCAGCGGAAAAATATTCAGGTCTGTTTCCCGAGACCTAACTTCTTTTCCTATCCTCGATAACAATTTACGATACAGGAAATGGATGGTCGATTCCATGTGGAAAAACGTATCCTGCCGGGAGCGAAAGATATCGTTCTCCTCGGATCGCAGTTAAGAATTTACGAGGAAAATTCGAGCTGCCCTATTTATGCTCTTTTTTTTCGAAAAACAAAAACCTCTCTTTAATTCTCGCTGCTGTAGCGTGGCGAAAGCTCGATTCGTTCAAGATAAAAAGCGCGCGTTCCTGGCCCAAATGTTACTTTCTCGTGATAGCAATTTTTCGATCAATTCGATCGAAACATCTTCTGTTGAAATTATTTTTTATATTATAAATTTATTATACTTACAAAGTATATTAATATTAGCTTCTCCTTTTAATTTATTTATTTAGAGCTTCGTCCATCTCTCAGGATTATTAGCGCCTTATATTATGCAATATGAATATAAATATATATATATATATTTATATTTTTTAAATTAGTTGGAAGAGCTTTGTGTCTTTTTGAGAAACTGTAAGACACGTTTTAATACTTTCGTCCTGTTTAAGATCGGTTTATAGTTGCCTGGAATGTTACGTTGTTCCCTTTCGTTTTGAAATTTCAAGCACCCAATTAATAAGCGTTTTACAGTGATTCTTTTTTTTATCGCAAATGTTACACCTTCCTTCTTTTGCGATTAAGCAAAAGTGGGTGAGCTTGTTCGACCTATTCTCAGTCTTTTATGAATATCGATTGATGTTTGCTGTCCAACGAATTTGCAGGTCTATTTTTGGAAAATATCATCTCGGACTGAATGGACGTCTATCGTCGTGTTTTCGTTTTCCCATGTCGAGTTCCGCAGTGATTCGATTTTATTTTCGATGATCGCTTTCATGTCATTGTGATATATTAGTTGTGACGTCGAATTGAATGCAAAGTCGGATTTGATCTATCGCAACCGTGTTCTCAGTTTTGCAGTTTTACTTGCGAAAGTGTGCAACGTGTTACGTAACTTGGAAGAAAGGTAGAGGCTGCAGAGAAGGGAGAGAAAAGGAGGAATAAAAAGAATAATGGAATAAAAGCGTAGATTTTTCTGAATTTATTAATATTTATTTTTATTTATATTCCGTATTTGCGACTGATATCATACAGTGGCGGATAAGAGAGAATTTAAAATTGATACGCTACGAATTTTAGTAACTTTCGTGCTAACAATTTCATATTATCATATTTGTGACGATCACCTACTCTATGATATACATGCGTGTTCGCTGTTTTCATTAAATTTTATATCCATTTCGTAAGATTATAGTGTCTGTTTATGCTTCCTATTTTATAAACTTTCTTTTGTTTGCCAAATTATATGTTTCACGAATCAAGCATTTAATATCATCAAGTAAGGTACACACCTTTACCGCACCTATCAATTATCCTTTTACATTTCATCCATAAAATTCACCTGTATTATACCAAACTGACTTCATCTATATTTCTTTGTAATTCTTTTTTTTTATCCTCTCTCACAAACTACGTCAAGCAACAGTCTCTTATATTAAACCCACACGACGATGCTTTAACCAGACTGCGAATTTTTATGCATTTATAGGAAATTTGAAAGTGCAAAATTGCACTTTGCAAAATTGCGAGAATGTTCGTAATACACAACAAATGTGTAAAATATCCAAAGCACAGTGTTTGTTCGTAATGCTCGGTAGGTAAAACAATTTCCTATCGAAATTCAACATTTTTACTTATATTCGCAAAGATACGAGCGCGCATAAAAATCCGCGGTCTAACTATAACAAAGTATAATATATGACGAAGAAACTTGACTTTTTCCATCAAATTTTACTTTTTTACGTAAAATTCCCCTACCTGGCGAACCACTAGACACGACGAAGACAATGTGAACATCTACGAGCAGTTGCTACCATAAATCACGATTCCTCGTAAAATTCTATTCGACTGAAATTCATTGGCACATCGATACACGGTTTGTTAGCCTATCGGTGGATCTTGATATAAGCAGAACGGGACAAAGTCGAGGCACGAGACAGTAAATTCCAATTTGCTTGGTGCCTTGTAGTACGTTAGCTCGCGTTAATTAGCGTTCGATGCAACGTCCGTTTGTCTAGGGCCCAGACAAACCCTTCGTACGCATTTCGACACGTTACACGGTCCCTACATTGTAATCGTATCGATCCGTAACATAAGGCTCGTTAGATATGTTGCAATCCCCGACGATAATTAGATTTAGTCGAGTAAATGGACACCATAGACGCAGATATTCCACAGCGAGCATGCTGTGCGCGCTAATAACTATTCATCCGATATGTAATCTACTTATGTCGAAAGTTACTTGGATGCAACGTTCCGTTGTCATACGTAACGCGTGTTAATTGTTTTTCCGCCCTTTATTGCACAGCGTGTCGCAGAATTGGTATAATTGCAAATTGAAATTTCATCGTAGATTTTTATAGAATTTTCTGGAAATTTAATATAGTGATACTCTGAAGTACCGGAGTCAAACCCCTGTTATTCAAAGAACAATCCGGAGAGAACAAACTGGAGTTTGAAACTTCTTCCTTGACACGTACTTTCGCAAGAAAAATAGTCCGAACGAAAAAGGATGAAACTTTGGTGATCCCTCGAACGAACAGATCACTGTTCACATTTTTACCAAATTTAGTATTTTAAATTCTAATCAGTCGACATCGATTATACTTGAGTCATCTAAGCTTCAACATCTTATCGATATTGAACTTCGCGTCATTAGTCTTTGATATATTATTTGATAAAAGATCGTATTTCATTTTCACGTAAAAAAATAGATAGAATTACTTTCCTGACGAGTAGTAAAATTAATGTATGTGCCATTGTTGGCTTCAAGCCTACAAAGTTTCATCCAAATTTCATTCAAATCAGAGCTTTCACGTAAGAACCGATAATACAAAAATATTTTCGAATGTTACATTTTTTAACACCGGTAAATTGCTTCAAGTACCATACTTAGAAATCGTTCATTACGAAATTTGGCAAATTGCAGAGAAAATTACCTAGCTCGATTCGAATATCCTTCTGATCTCATCTTACCAACCTGTTTATCGATTAGCTGTTTGTGACGAGTATACTCGCTATGAGGAAATGACAATATTTTGTGTTATGACGAGTACACTCGTCGTGCTTAAAAGATACTTACAATTCGCTGTTTAAATTGCAACTCGATAATTGCAGTAAATTGTAGTGACGAAGTTAAAAAATAAAAGAATCGTTTCGTTACAACATAATTCTATATTACATAACAGCCATAGATACTCTATGTTTGACGAATATACTCGTCATTGCTCGCTTTTTGCGACATATTTCAGCTACACAATTTTCAAAGAGGTCGCGACAGCTAACTGGTTATAAAGTAATGTGAAAGATGAATCGATCGCGAAAATGATCGAACGCAACGAGTGGAATACGAAATGACAAACACGCATCGAACTTTCGATGCGTAATCGAATGATCGCGATCCGCGAGTCGACGTTCGCATTGCAATCGGTGTACACGCGTCGTAATCGTCGCTGAATGTCCATTCGCTGCCACGATAATCCGTTTATCCACTTCTTCTCTCTTTGTCCCAGTTTACTAATGGCAGTTCGCGAAAGCACGTTTATCCCGGAACGAAATTGATGCCGATTACCTCACGGAAATAGGCGTAACCGTTTATTTTCCGTTCGAACGCGGGCACATGGTATTCGCTGGAATTTTCCATGGATTTTGAGATTTATTTAATCTATGCGTACACACGACTACGATCACACGATGGAAATTCGTGTATTTTTCGTATTAGACTCTTTTTGCTACTTTCTTTTTTTTCATTCAAAGGAAATCTCATCGATGAATCGTTAGATATGATAAATTATGTTAACGTGATTTCTGCAATGATCTGGCGTTAAATGGCAATTAATATATTCTCAGGAGTAACGTCGGTGTGAATTGAATTCTTTCAGCGTGAACAGCGACGGCCTGTCACCCCTGGATGTTGCGGTGCTCAGCAACAATAGGCCGCTTGCAAAAATGCTGGTCGCGTTCGGCGCACAGGAGGGTAACCAGTGTAAGTACACAGGAATTCAATTGGAAATTTCGTTTGTTACGTTTATCCAGTTCTCGATCAGCGCGAAATTTCCTTTAACACCCTTTAACTCTCAGTCTTCAACACCGTTGTATTCTACGAAGTATGGTTTAACGATAACATTGCCATTGCTTAGTTTAGTTTAATTTCAAATTGTATATTTTTTCTTCTTTTTTTTTATTTGGATGAATTTTACGAGTAAATTTTTCTGGCTTGGTACTATGTCGTGTTTAATAAGTGTTTATCGTGTGTTTGATTCTAGTTGAATCTAGTGCTTAAATCTAAAGGGTAATGCCAAGGACTTGTCAAGAAATTGAGTAACTAGTGGGTTTTGATGGTTATTAACTCTTATGTTATATCTATTACTGAATTTGGATATTTCTTCTTTGAATGTGGGTGTCTTGAGGTCCCGATGTATTGTTTCGTTGGTAGCATATCAAGGTGCATCTATCAAGGATCTTAGAGTTTTCGATTGGAATCGTTGAAGAATTTCTATGTTGGAACTACTTGTTGTTCCCCATAGTTGGATTCCATGGGTCCAAACAGGTTTTAATATGGCCTCATATAGCATTATTTTACTTTACGTGCTTAAGTTGGAACGTCTGCCAACGAGCCAGTAGAATTTTTTTAATAAATTGTATATTTATCGTTATTTCCTTTGCTCGTCTAACTCTATGTAAATTCTTCTATCATCTGATCGATCGGTTTCTCAATTTTTGTTAATATAAGAATTTGCAAGAACGAAGATTTATTTATTTACGAAGTTTATTTTATTAAATTCTCGCGTCACTTGGCTACAAAAGTACGTAATATTTACTACGTGTTAATATCGTTCAAGCTTTATTTCATTTGGTTATTATTAGGCTATGAACATCTTTTACTTGAACGTTTTATCGTGAAATTGTATTACATGAAACTGTTTCAGGTTCCAGCAAAGGAGAATCGAAAAAGGGAATCTGTAATTCAGTAATAAATTTTATAATGCAATAATATAATTATCTCTTCTTGTAACGAAAGTTTTGCTCGGTTATGAGAAAGAGAGAGAAAGTTTTTGATCTTTAAAGGCCATCACACGCTGAAGTTTTTCTTTTAGGTTTTCCATCTGATATTTCTTATTAGTATCATCTAGTAATAGTGAAACACTTAATTCCACTTCTTAATTTTTAATCTAAAAAAGATGTAACGAGACGAACTCTCTGGCTCGTGATAGCCTTTAAGGGTTGGGAACTTCTCCTCTTATAGTTGATGATAGCTTCTCGCATGATAGCCTTTAAGGATTAAAAACTTCTGCTCTCATAACCGAGCGGTGCTCCTGTTATACGCGAGATAGGAATTATAAACTTCATAAGTAAAGGACTTAGAAATTTTCTTCGTCGATTCCTTCGTCCATGGGGGAAAGATCGGGGCAGAGGGTAAAAATGTGCAGAAAATGAGAAACTTCGCAAAGATTCTTCAAAAATTTACAGCGTTTGCGGAGTAGTTTGTTTTGTTCAATCAAATCGATGTTCTTTCACGAAAAACCTCGATGCAGACGGTGTGGAAAAGCAGGTAAATTGAAGACCTCTCGATAGGTGGCCTCTGTTTCGGAAAACAATTGCTAGCGAATTTCTCGTTTGTATGATCAGAGTAAAAAAAAAGTACAGAGAAGTTTGATGAATGGCACGAAACCCCAAAATCTTTTTATTCTCCACCCTCGAGATAATTTGTTGGTAGCTTCAGTTGGTTCACGGCTACAGGGAACACGATCCGAAAAATATATAGTTCAATGTGAAAGTTTACTCGTGTACGTGGCGAACGACCAAATTCGAAAAGATTGCACGATGGATTCATAGTGACCTAAAAGTTGGAGAGGAATTAAAGGGAGAGAAAAAAAAACGTAACGATTTTTAGTGATGAAAAAAAAAGAGAGGGGGAGGAATAGCCGAACAGGATAGAATTCCTATTAGTATTGCGCAGTCTGTAATAAAAATGCAGTCGAGCTTTATTGCGTTTCGACCGCGATGGAACAAAAAATATAACGAGAATTCGAGGCTTGTGAAAAGGAGCGAAGAAACTTTCCACCGAGCCTTTCTCCTCATCTGCCAATTTACAAGTGTAATCGCAAGCGTAGAATCTCGCTCCGCTGATAATTAAACTCTACAACCTTTCCTCTCTTCTTTCGCTTTTCGACGAAAATTAATGTGATATCACCCTTACGATACCGCTTTTCCATTTTAATCTAATCTTCCAGGATAATCTCCGAAATACTCGTACAATCGATTACTATCTGATCGTGTATTGTATCGTGACAAAGATGTTACTTTCAATAATATGTTTGCTATTCAATTTTGTATGAATTGCGAAAACGATGGATAACGCTTCATTAGACCTGTCAAAAGGGAGAGACAAAAAGATAGAAATAAAAATTTCAATTAAAATTTGAAATATTGCAACAAGCGCGTTAGCTCTCAAAATATGTGTGCTTTCAAGTTCTCTATTAATTAAATTGAAACATATGTACAGAGAAGCGATACAATTATTTATTGTTAGTCATATGAAAAGGCAGAGGCGACGGAATGCAAGATAAAATTTCAATTAAAATTTGAAATATTACAACAGATATATTAGCTTCGGCAATATCTCCATGTTTCAAATATTTTATTAATTAAATTGAAACATGTGTTGAAAAAGATCGAAGAAGTACTCTTTATTAGTGGTATTGAAAAGAGCAGATAAAAGGATGATTAAAATAATTTCAATAACACGTTTGGTATTCAATTTTGTATGAATTGTGAAAATAATAGATACACTTCATTAGACCTGTTAAAAGGGAGGGACAAAGAGATACTAATTAAATTATGAAATATTGCAGCAAGCGCGTTAGCTTCAAAAATACGTCTGCTTTCAAATTTTCTATTAATTAAACTGAAACATAGGTTCAAAGAAATAATATAATTCATTAGACGTAAGAAAAGCAAGAGGTGACGTGATACAAAATAAAATTTCAATTAAAGTGAACTCTAACAATGTCTTTGGTTTGAAATTTTCTGTTAATTAAATTGAAACATATGCTCAAAGAAATAATACCATTTATTAGTAGACACATTAAAAGAAAGAGGCGCCAAGATACAAGATAAAATTTCAATGAAGATTTAAAATATCGTAACAAATATATTGGCTTGAGCAACATTTCTGGTCTCGATATACATACACATGTTAAAGTATGCGTACATCGAATTTTCTATCCGTGTTCGTTTACTCTTTGTTATTCCTTAATTTCTAGCGTAACTCACTCTCGCCAAAGTTAATATTCGCCGATTAAAGTTTCAATTGAAACGGTTAAGCGAATCTGATGTATTTATGCAAGACAAGTAATCTTCCTTACGAGAGCGAAATTATTTTTATAATGGAATTCCATCGCTTTACGTCACGTTTTACACGTTCTACAATGTAATACTCGTTTGTTTACTTCGGAGATTTTAATGATGTAACGCTGTTACCAACCTGATTTATGCTGGCATTAAAGTCTCTTGAATTAAAATCTCCACTTTTCTCGGACGATTCTGCTTTATTTAAAGTGAAAGCGTGATGTAATCTTCAACGAAAAAAAATCAAGATTTTTTTTTTATTATATAATGTGAAATGTCGTCTTGGTTTCTTCCTAACAGTTTTATTAATTTAGCTCCGATTCTTTAGACCAATTTCTTCTATCTTCTGCTCTTAAAAATCAAAAATTTGCCTTTGGTCTTTCTCGAACATTTATCAATCGAAATCTACGCTTTAAAAAACACTTTCGAATACACTTGACCTCTTGAAAGTTAAACATCTGTCTTCGCTTTTTCTCAAAAGATTTGTATTACTCGAAATGTGTAAATAATACTTTGGAAAAACTTCTGCGAGTGCACTTAATCTCCTACAAAAATGAAAAACTTGTCATGGTTTTTCCCCAAATTTTTAAACTTAAATTTAATTCGTTCGAAACATTTCTTTCAATTATTTCTTCGCATTTCGTCATTTAGAAACTAGAGACTCGTTTCTCCTGGTTCTTTTATCTTGATCTTCGTCTCGTTAGTTTAGATCAAATTTTTTAGAGAATTCTTTTTCAACAGAAATAGCCATACTGTGACAAGCTCAGTTTATGAATGAGGGGAAATAAAAATTATTTCGTCATCGATATCTTAATCTCTCGTTACTGTCAGAAACCACATGGAAAGTTGTAAAATGACACGATCAGAGATAAAGTCCCTTGGCAGAAAGTGAAAATCGATATCCGATGTGGACACAATTGTGGCTAAACGATCGCGACGTAACCGTCTGTCCCGGATGCAAACCACCGCAGATTTTACATTCATAAACACCGGGTACGAGTTGAATCGGCTCAATTAGCCGGATGATTTTTGCACTATTCTCCGCTCACAAACCACGTTGATTCGTGCAATTGACTCCATTACGCGTTTCCTCGATAGTCCACTCTTGAATTTCGTCTACCAACTTTTTTTATTTCTCCTTTTTTTTCTCTTTCGTAATTTTTCCACCGGTCTACGGAGAGTTAAATTGTTTCCTAACAAAGTCCATTCGTGACGTTTGAAAAATTGGCCTCCTCTGCCAGAAATTTTTTATTTTTTTGTTATGGTTCTCGTTTTGTTTCGTAATTTGCGAAATTGTGAATTCGTGAAATTCGAAGATGCAAATAAGGAATTTTTATATTCACTCTTTTTTTTTCTTTTTTTAAGAATATCAGTTGATGTAAGCATAGTGGGATGGATGATTATGTAAATAAATCTTATAAAGTTTTAGTATCAAACGAGAGATTCTCTTGGTTCTGGTTTTATAAAATTGTCTTTCATAAATTATAAAAGCCTGTCTTGGTTCTCTTCTGAACTTCGATTTAATTCTCCAGAGACGTTTCTACAGTGACACTTAAACTCTCAAAAATTGAAAACTTATCTTTCATTTCTCTGCAATTTTCTTTGGTCTTTCTCGAACTTCCTTTGATATTGAACTTTCACAAGGAATCTTTTTGATTCTGTTTGCGCAGTCAAATCTCCAGAGTCCCTGGGCAGTCACTTGGCTTCGTTGCTGTTGGAGGCTGAACACAGAGTTCAAGAACTCGGCGGCAGTACTTCCGGCAGCGGTGGGACTACCCTCCTGGAACCACCAAGCAGTCATAGATCAAGTTTTTCGTCGCAGCACAACAATCTCACGGGATGCGGCGGTAGCGCGGAGGACAAGCAACTCGCTTTGTGGGAAAGAAGAGCTAGAGCGCTTAGAAAAATGTTGCTTGGATTCGATCAAGCGAGTAAGTCATACACAAGTATCATTTTGATTTTATATTTTTTAACGCGACTAAAAAGAAAAAAAAAAGAAAAGAAAAACAGAATTTAAGTAAAAATTTGCTTTACCTGCTAAATATTATAAGAATTACTCTACTTTAGATATTTTAGATACTATTGTAAATTGTATGCATTCTGTAAGATTTTTACACAATTAAGCTTTCCAAAAATGCATAAACAGTAACGGCTAATACGAGAGTAGAAAATTTTTAAATAAAATTGACAATACTAATCTATTTCAGGGCCACCAGACATGCCATTTTTGGTCGCAGTGGACGTCACAGGAACAAATTCTGTAACAGTGAGGTTTCAAGAACCAGATTCCCATGATTCTCCAATCTGCACAAAATTTAAAGTCCAATGGAGTATCAAAGAAGATTTCTCGGTGATCTGTGGCGAGAGAGAGGTGCTAGATATGAAACAAAGGGAATGCAGGATTGACGATCTGATTCAGGGACAGAAATATTATTTTCGAGCAGCTGCTGGCAATTTGAAGGGCTACAGCAGGTTCAGGAACTCGACTCCCGCCCACGTAACACCTAGCAGTACGATCATTTTTTTATTTTTTTTCTATAGAGTGCATTGCGAATGAAGAGCGTATGCAGAAGGCTATTTTTGTTAATTTCCTGACCTTTATGCCACTCGGCTGAAAAATAGTATCTCAGTATGAAATGAAATAATCTAATAGATTCAAAGATATAAATCTTAGTATAAGTTTCTTATAAGAAACGAGTATGTTTAATTGTTATGTTAGTTTAATCGATATTAGTCTGCATAAATAATGTTCAATATCGATATTTTTTAAATGTTCAGGAAAGAAAGAAAAATACATATTTGCTCTGCAAATGTTGAATTTTAAAACTGTCCTTCTATAAAAGGTAGGACATGTAACTTGTCACGTGTCTTTTACATATAAAACATCGAGTAACACAGCTGGAAAGTACAGAACGAAATCGATCTCGAATCTGATCCATATTTAGCTCGCGCCTAGATTTCGCTCGATTGCATTCGAATCCAGTTAAATTTAGAATTTGCATTGCACACGTACCGGTCGTTTGGTTTATCGGAGTTTTTAAAACTCGAAGTGAAGACACGTAACTATTGTTCCAGGCTGGAGAGACATCGATGGCAGAGTGCCAAGGTTTGCCGGCCGATTGGAGCAGCTGAATACTTTATTCACGGATATCAGGCGCCCAGAGTACACTCAAGAAACGCCGGCCGTGCAGAGGCGTAATCACAAGAAGAAGACAACGATAAAACAGCTCTTTTCGGCCACCAGCAAGTTTCAGAAGAATCTGAGACGCGGCGTTTTTCTCGCCTGTTTACTCTATCATGAAGATAAAATATTGGTAACGAACGAGGATTTCTTACCTGTGATCGAAGTCGACGAGACTTACCCTAGCTGTATTTATAACGACTTCCATTGGCTGATGAAAGTGGGCTGCACTTGGGACGATGTTAAAATTCTCCGTCAAAATATGGAGAAAAGTCACAGCAGTTCAACGAATCACTTCAGGATAAAGCTTTTACAGGCTGCTGCACAAATGCAGGTTTGTTTCCTATTATATAAAATTATTAAACATTTGTTAAAGATTAAAATGAATTACAGACTGATGAGTAATTTTTGGTCATTGGTTCTTATAGGCAGCGCTGTGTATACAAGACATTGGTCAGTTGTACCATAAACCCATTAGAGACGTTCAAGGCACCCTGGTTTTCTCCACAGTGAATTACATAAAATCCCCGAAGTTGATCTCAGTGTTGAATAGCAGATGGTTGCCACTCAGCAAAGTCACGAAGAAAGTCATTATTCACGAAGATAGTAACGTAGCGGATATTTTAATAGCCAGTATACAGGAACAGATGACTTACCACCAAGTTAGCAGTATCAAGCTTTCAAAGGGGCTTTATCTTGGTTATCTGAAGATGCAGAGTAGCGTCGATCTTATACAAGTCGTGGTACCCGCAAAAGCACCTAATGTTTTGCCTCATTGTAAGATCCGTGATAACCCACACGTCTCTGCGTAAGTATTGAGTCGACGAAAATACTACCTTCATACGTATCATTGCGGATTTATTAATCATTATTATTTATATTTCCATAGCGAGGAGTGGGATTATCTGAAAAGGATAACACGCATTCACGCATCAGACGCATCAGTCAAAGACTGTGAAGAGAAAGAAAACGTAACAAACGAGGCCCAAGGTACAGAACAGCAGAAATTGTTCGTCGACCTGGTCGCTGCTACAGCAAGGCGATTGTTCAATTATATGGAAATCAATCCTGAAGACTCTTTGCTCCATCGACTTTACGACGCCGAAGTTATCGATCTGACTCACGATGTGTCCTTTCTGATCGCTGTGCCTCCTGCAGAAACCGCCTGTTGCGTGCCTGGAACCAGAGAAATCCTTCTTCAACGTGGTGATCTTCTTTCGTTGCCCATCCAAGTATTCGAGATGGTTCACTTAAATACCTATCAGAAGGATGTGATCAACAGATATTCAAGACTAAGTTGCATTCTTGAACTCGACACGGCGCAAGCTCAGTACAACCACAGAGAAGCCTTCAGTTCTCTGGAGTTAAGCGTGGCGAAGGATAAGTTGGCCAGGCTGCAAGATCTGCAGACTCAAGTAAACACCGTGTGGAAAGGAGCCAGGTGGCTCATAGACGTGATCACGTTCGCTAGAGATCGCGGTTCTTCGCAGCAGAGCGTAAGTTGAACTGACCAATCCTGTGATCTGTGTAAAATTATTTAAAATCCAAGTATATCGCATTAGACAACTCTATAATTCATAACTACAGGGTTCGTCACAAACAGTTGGAATTTCAATGAAGCACCTGCTCAGCCTCGACCGAAACAGAAGCAACAGCAACAGCCTAAAGAGAAGTTTGCTCCAATTACCGCCACGCGATCCGAAGCTGGTGAAATCTAGTCCAGGTCGAGGCAGCTGGCCAGGACCTAACATGTCCAATTCTTCCTCAAATCTGCTCACAACGGAGTTCAGTAAAAGCGAACAACAATTGCCCAGTGGCCAGTATATTCGCAAGGGCAGCAACACTTCAAATGTGTCGGCCGGCTCAGAGCCTGCAAAGTCTACGGTACCCATGAGCAGCCCCAGCAATCTAAGCAACGCGACCAGCGCTGGCAGCAACAATCATCTGGTACCATTACAGAACACCAGGTTACCGCCTTCCAAATCCGAGGACACTCTGATCCTAACGAAATACAAACACAGTCCCAGAAATAGGTCAGCTACGATCACATCCGCATCGGCCAGCACCAGTCCTTTACTCAGCATAAAACCTATGATCTATGGTGGCTCGCTCCTAAGCGTGTCAACAGCCATGACAAACACGACGAGTCTGTTAAGTGTCAGCAACACCAATTCCGACAGTTTGCATTCGCTAAGTAGCGACGAGTATTCGACGCCTAACTCGAGTGTCTGCATAAAGAGTGGACATACGAAGAGCAAATCGACCAAGCCCACTGCTAGCGTCGCGGCCACGGCCACTGGTTCCTTGGAAAGTCAACTGGAGGAGGAGAAAGACGAAGCAACGTTAATGCCTGCTCCTCTGCCGGGCATTCTTCAGGTAATATTTGTCAAGTTCCAAGTATCAATTTTTCAAGTAGAAATTAGAATTTACATGGAGGAAGAGTCAATATATAATGAAATAACAGGATTGGGATCCTGTGTAGTTAAATATTATGACAGAAATCACCACGGAAGATTATTCTTTTCTGAAAAGAATCGTGTTCGTCTTATTGTTAGTTACAACATGATCGTTGCTTCATTCTCAAGATTCACGGGGGATTACAATTACGAACAACGATCGTAATAATCTTGGGAGCAGCTAGTACAATTTGTCACGGTTGTTTCCCATTAGCCAAGGAATTATTCCTTGCGCAAGCTTCCTTAAAGTAACACTTATTCCAATTCTAAACCGCAAAAGCTTATTATTACCTATTGGGAAACTACTCATTGAGTTTAAATAATATTTTTCCTTGTAGGGAACACAAGTCTAACCTGATTGTAGTTAAAAACAGCTCACTTGGTCTTCTAGTGCAGACCGATGTAGCAGACATATGAGTAAGCCGTCACACACCGCTAAGTTTCAGTGCTTGTCTCGCTCAGATGCGCTTTCCAGATTACGCTTTTCGTGTATTATCGATCTAGCAGAGCATGAAATTTCGTCCGAGCTTTCAACTTAACGTAACACGATTGTTTCCATGTTAATCTAGGTATAATTTTTCTAACGATGAATAAAAATCTTTGATCTGAATGCGTGCTGCATATCTCTTTATCTATGTCATTTTAAATCGTTACTACCATTAGGTAAGCAATCTTTTTCTTCTTTTTTTTTCTCTCTTTCAAATGTTTTGAACACTAACGTTTACCTAATTTACTATTCGTCGTTAACAACAGCCAGATGCATCGAGCAACGTGCTGTCACTGCGCTGCCACCTAAATGTCATTGCATATGCTGATTTTACAGCAGACAATTTGTATCTGTACAGTCTATAAATTACCTAACGGCATCGTCTGACCGTAGACCCGGTATTTTTGCAGGTTTACGCGGCCTATGAAACCGGCCTGGCTTCCGGAACCAGTCTCAAGTTACACGTTACTCCGAGGACCACGGCCAGAGAAGTTGTGAATCTAGTTGTGAAGCAGCTGAACATGGCGGTAGTGTTAAAGGGTCAAGAAGGGCCCATTTACACGGCTGACGAGTTGCCGAATTTTTGCTTGGTGGCTGTGATCGGTGCCAGAGAGCGTTGCTTGAGAGATGACTTCAAGTTGTTGCAGCTTCAGAATCCTTGGAAAAAGGGCAGGTTGTACGTGAGGCAGAAACAAGATGTCCTTGCAGCCCTTGAGCACAGCAGCAAGCACACCGCGTATTTATAGCATAAGTAACGAAAGGGAAGATGACAGAAACAGATTGTGATTAGATAGAAAGTACGTCGAGAAAGGGAAAAAGATAATTCCTGTCGCGGTTCACGATGTCTACCAATGTAAGAAACGCTGCGTCTCATTAATAATTGGCGATAGAAGCCAAAGATCATTTAGTATAATGCGTTCTGTGTCTCGTAGTAATTCGAGATTAAATAGACGTTATAGACATTTTTTTGTTTCTCCATTGTATTTTTCTTGTTCGTTTTAATACAGAACAAATGACGTAGATTCCCAGTCGTCTCACGAGACGCAGAATGCATTAAGATGTACATAAAATAAACGCTTGGCTACACGAGAAATTTTCAATTGTATCTCTCGAGGCTCTAACTAAATTACACGTAATTAAGTAGGGAAGTGAAAGGGAAGAACGACGATCGTCTGAAAGGATGAGAATTTAAAATTGCGTTTAGGCGAACCGGAGTACATTCCAAACGAGTTTTCGATCCGACTGCTGTAATTTTGCGCTGATGGACTAGATAGCGTTCCAAGGGAATGGATAATACTCAAGGTATATTATACTGTTATATTTTAGGTACCGATCTCAGTGTTTTACTCGATATACACGCGTCACCGGTTATAAACGAGTCACATGCTTAAGAAATCTCATTGTTGTCCCAATTGTATTCGACGTGTCCAAGCTACGCGCAAGATACATCTTTTCTTATTCTTATTCCCAACTTTCTTTATCTTCCAAAAGATTACCCAATTTCGATAAGAAATCTTGGACACGTAGAATGAACTGAGAGCACGAACTTTTCGAGATAGAAGAAGTTTTATATTTATATTTTTAAATCCACCTAATCACCCAAGGATTTATTTCAGCAAGTAGTTCTGCTTGACTGAGCCTTTGTCACCAGGTTCAGGAGAAATACGATCCTCGAAACGATTTCTTCTCTATGAATCGGTTTCTTCGATCTGTTAACATTGCATTGTTTTACTACGAAATGATTTCTATCCATTAATTTTTTCTTGTTTGCAAATAACAAGAACAATGAAAGCGCCCTGAACATTCAAAGAGAATCAGACACTCAAAGTTCTTGGAAGATTGCGACTAGAGCAGATTACTATTACGCATTAAAATATAGTAGAAGAAACGTGATCCAGATAAAAGAGGCTTATAGACTGTTGCGTAGAAATAAAAGAAAGAGTATTACTATGGCTATTAAGATTTTTATTCTCGTCAAGACCGCAGTTATTTTATTACATTATAATTGTGTTCGCTGTTCTTCGTGTTCTTCAAACTTATTTTCTGTTTTAGAGTATTTCCTGTTTGTAGAATTTTTATATCATCGAACGAACATTGTCGTTTGCTTCTTTATTGCTACTTCGTCGGAGAAGAAGAGCGTGTCGAGATCGATTTCGAGCTGTTGACGATCTTGTTAGAATTCCAGGCACTCGAGGACTTCCTAATAAGCGACCTAGACGACGCGTTGGTGATAAATATGGTGCAGAGTGGAAAATGTAAAAAATACACCCTAATCATACGATACCGCTGTCCGGCACTTCGTGTAGTATACAATATTTTAAGATCCTAAGGCGATACGTCTTCTTAAATTTCTGTCAGTGATTGAATTTTAAAACTACGACTTGAGTATTCTACAAGAAATGTTATAAATCTCTCAATTTTCGTTATATGATAATTAGTGTAAGAAAAGTTGACATCGCTATTGGAAATCCGTCCTTTATCTTTCGTAAACGAAACTTGAAAATTCGATTCGCTTCGGGTTCAAACAATAAAACAGTGGTATCGTGCGTCGAGGGGCCACCTAAGTTTAAACGAAAATATACAATGCAGATATTTTTTTATCGAGAAAATAAAAGAATGGTAGCGAGTTGGAGGATGGGATGAAAAAGAGATTTTTACTATATTTTACCAGAATGCGTACTCGTTCGACGAGGAACGCGAACGGTACGCATTTCCAACGGAAATACGGGAATCTGTCTGTGTGTCGATATCAACAGATGTGAATAACCAAGAGGAAGAGGTGCGTGATGAAGAATGGCAGTAGGCAAAGAATGGTGGGAAAAAGATCTTAACAAAACGCTAGAAAATTTATTAGCTCTACCTGAGTATTTATCGATGTTGAGTGTAAAATAATCATTAGCAGTTAAGTGTTACTGTGGGAGGAAAACGAATTTTAAGACTCGAGAAGCCCTGGTTTTCCTCTCAGACAGCAGTTCCAAAAAAATAAAACAAAGAAATAAAAAAAAAACGCAAGATGAAAGAACTACTTGTAAATATTCAAAGAAATCTATGTATGTATAAAATATAAATGAAAATTATCGAAGAAATTGAAGTCGATTATTTTTCACCAAATCGGGCTTTTATTTTAGAGGAGCTATTTCAACTACAGTAACCAGGACAGCAACGATTTCAAATCCACAAAATAGAACACTAAGAGAAGTCGATCGAAATTATGGCCCAGCTCGAAATAATTTTGGGAATAGGTCGAGTAAATTGTATTTACGTTTCTGTTGCCCTTGGTAAAATTCATTCGATTACGTTACAGCTCGTATATTTTATTTCATTAGCCAGAGCGAGTCGTAACTCTCGAGGTGAGGCAAAATGAACCCGGACCCTCACGACCGACAGTCCCGCTGACCCACTTCCGTCTTGTTTCTCGTCTCATCTTGCTCTGCCACCTACTCCTTATTTATCCCCCACCTGGTGTAATTGTGCACTCTGGTCTTCCGGCTAGTTCCCAAGAGATCTGTGGTAATGAAAAACTGCCAGGGCATCGCCTCCGAGGAACGGTGCCCCCTCGTAGGTCAGGCAACTTATTCTCAACAGCCGGCATCGATATCCTGGCATTTTAATAACTGTCAGTGCCGTGACTACGATAAATTTGCATACAGATGTAACGAAGGTAATTTAGAAAATTATCAACGAATATCGGGACTTGGGTATTCAAACACTAAACTCACACATACTTTAACACGATCGCTGTACAAACACAAACTAGCATCTCCGTTATTGAACTGCTGTCAATTAAAACTTGCCAGAGTCAGATATTTTGATATCTGCGATCCTCTTGCAGATATAGCACTCTTGTATTGCAAGATCGATTGAAGAGAGACAGAAGTCTGAGAGATGAACGTCGCCATGATTAATCACAGTCGCAATCCAATTGCACGCTAGACAGCGACTACTAGGTGACTGAAATCACAGGGGAAGATTGTAAACGATCTGGCTGCGAATTAGATGAAACTTTCTACGCTTGAAGAACACCCAAAAATATTGTAGGCGCGTATTTGTTTCACTCAGACCTCCGTCCTAATCTTCGCTCAAACTTCCATCAAAATCTTTGTCCTAAGCTTGAGTCGTGGATTGGGTGAAGGTTTGGGTATAGGTTTTGGTACAAGTTTGGATCGTGACTTGAGTGGAGATTAGGATGGAGCTTTGGTTGACAGAAATTCTTATCTACAATGTTCGGCTGCTCGCCAGGCCTACAAAGTTCCATCCGAATGGGAACCGGACCGTTCACGACCTGTCCTTCTCAGTACCGTATGCACGCTCTACCGGAGAAGTTCACTGTTGGAGTTCGCATAATCGCATCAACAATACAGCGTTATTTGCTCTGAGTTAATGCCTTTATTCACGATGTTCCTTGCGCCATCGCGATAGACAAACATCTTCAAAAGACTCGTCAAATATTTTGGGACAATTTTTTGAAACATTAAGATGAATCTCATTCTGGAATAATGGACACTTTGATCATCATAAGTATAGTAAATAACAATTTTTAAGAGTATCAAACTTTCAAGGTTTACTGAAAATTCAGCAAGCACAGTTCATTAATTTGATGGAATAACGATCGTCGAAGAAATGTGAGCTGGAAATATTGGAATAAAATAGCGAAGAAGTAGGATAAATGTTACAAGGGTGTAAAATTTGGAAGTTACGTCGCTGCAATGGCTGTAAATTTGCTTTTGTGGGTGCATATACAGTTAATAGTCATTGTCAGCAGAACAGAACCGCACGAGGAGATTGGTTGACCCGCAGTCCGGATTCGCCCTCGGCTGACCCCGTTGTTAACTGACCCACTGACGATATTGATAGCGGGATACCACGGTGCTCGGTTAGCATCGGTCTCTCGCGTTCGTTCTTCGCGTTACTCTATCCCTGAAACGGCGTTGAAAAAATGTCTGTTAATTTCCATCCGCCTGCAAAACCAACTAAAGTCATTCCAAAAATTATACATTATAGTTCAACTAATTATACATTCTATATCTGTCTGCGTATAATACAATCGTTCGAAATTGTCAATTCACGAGTCAGATGCAACGTAGAAAAGCAACTTCAAGAATCGAAAATTGCTATATAATTTTCAACGTGGTTTAATAATTATATATTCGAATCGAAGCATAATTATAATTATCTGTATATTTGGATTATTTGAATATTTGATATCCTCAAATTGAAAATGAGATATGAACGCTTGGAAAGCACAAACTTTTTCGGAATATCCGATAACACGTTTAAAACGCCAACTGGTACAGGACAATCCTCACCCTTCCACCGTGAAATTTGTTTTCGATGAAACCACGCGTCCAATACGGTACGAAAGTTGGCAAATGCAGCCCAGTTTCCTAACAATCTCGCATCGCCTCTAATAACGACATCAGGATGCCGTAAACGCGATCCTCCTTGACGAAAATGCAGCGCTCGGCGCATCTGTGATCTCTGTGTTCGCACGTCTTTCGATCGATGGATTACGACACGCCGCATTGTGCTTAGAAGTGCTCCCGAGGCTGTCACGAGAATCAGATTGCCGTAATAATTTGATTGATATTCGCTCTCCTTCGCAGAAAACGCTCGAGAAGATGGAGATAGAGCAGCCAGTCTGTGGGTTGGCTCGGCTTCTTGCGCAGCGTGGAACACCGAAAGCCGAGAAAATCCAAATACGTGGCAGGAGTAAGACAATTTTCCAAGTTAGGAGATTTAGGAATTGTGGGAAATGAAATTTATGGAAAGTTAATTGGTTAACGACAACGATAATATGCAAGCTTTGGCCTGGCAGAGATAGGAAATTTCTAACAATAAAAATCAGAACGTGTCGAGGAGGAAAAGGTTTAATAGTTTAGAAAGAGAGAAGAAAGAGTCTCCTTATTTGTAAAAAGAGTTCAGTCTTGATTAAATCACGACAGTTTAAAAATCGTGCAAACTGAAGATTTTTGAAACTTGGAATACCATAAAATTATAGATTTTAGAAGAAAGTAAATTAATTATGATTAGTTCATGAAGATTAACATTGCATTCTTTTGTTTATTAGAAAACAGTCCATCGGGACGCTTGTTTTAATTGCTTTAATAAATTTAATTTTCGTTTCAACGCGCTGTCCATCGCTTCAGTTGCTTGCCCGAGCAATTTTATCGAAGCGCGCGAAAGCTAAAATTGCGCCAGTTGTATCGATATCACTGAAATAATTGAACCTACGCATTATACACGACGATAGCTCTGCCTTTCTACGTTACTCGATCGAAGCTAACAGAAGCTAAAATGCGACAATTAGTAGAATCGCGAGAAGAGAGATTGGATCGACGCACCATATGCGTCAGTAGCAACGAATACGTTAAAGTCAAAAGATTAAGAAGGCGAGGGAGAAAATTTTGGGAAAAAACGGTGTCGTGGATGTTGGGATACGACGAGGTATAATACGACGGACGATGTTAATAAGAAACAGTAGGTCAACTTGTGTAGAACGAGGCTAGAAGCTCCTGGCAAATCCGGTGTCAATGAGATCGATTCACCCGGCATCGTCGCTCCAGTTATTGACAGGGAACTGGACCGTCTAGTTCTTTCTCGACGATGCTTCTTGCATCCACTGCAACAACGTGGACTACGAACAGAGGATGTGTAACAATTCGTTCTGGAAAGGATATCCAGTTGCCTGGATCTCGAAGCCGGGTTATACTTCGCCGAACACTTCAGATTTTTTGTTACCAGCTAAGGAGTGGTGCTTGGAACACTTACATTTTTAACGTGTTTTTTGTACTTCCGTAACTAACCGATGATTTAACTTCTTACGGCTAAAAGAATCTCCGACAGTTTGTACCAATATGTTGGATCGAAGTATATATTTCGATTCGAAGAACGTAATTTATTGTACATAAATCATAGCACATAGATTACGTAGTTATATACGTATTCTATACGTATTTTATCGAAGGCCATTTCAGCCTCTCGGAAGACAAATTCATTAACTTTACTCCGTCAATTTTTTCCTTTCATCGCACAGGTATATGATTAATATTCGATTCTCAAGGAAGAAGGAAATTTATTTCATTTTATCTATAGTAATCACCTCGTCTTTTGGCTTAGGATGGCTTCCGGCCTCATGTCATAAATGCGTAATATTTCGTCTAATATTCTAAGAAAGAAATATATACAAACCAAACAATCGTTTTTACAAAATACGTATGTTTAACGTAGCTGTATATATATCGTCAAATAGCAACGCTATGCATCAAAGGGTTAATAGGATCTCTCCAACTTGAGGGTTGAACTTAGAAATCATTGCTTGCAACGCTTCTAAGCAATTTTATTTTCCTGTACACCTACTCTATGCTCCTCATTCTCGTATTCTATGTTTCAAGTTCAATTATTCAATTCTCCAATATATTTGTATTTGATTGTGATTCAATAATCACAGCAGAACGTTTGTTCTTATGCTGTTGGAAATACAAAAACCAGCATCGCTAAAGGACAACTTGAGCGAGGCCAACACAAAGAACCACTTCGAGTTCTTAAGGGGAAGCAGATCTACTAAGAGTAGTATAACAGACTCTATAGTCGATGCAACTACGAATATAATTAAAGACAATTTTCCAAGAATGAGAAGGATATGGATGAAAGGAAAAATATAGAGATTGGGTAGTGGGGTGGGCCCTAAGATTGGCAAAGGGCCTGATTTTACACGGATCTTTCAGGCTCCCGCGCACGTGTGCCAACTATATTGCGAAAGACTTATACGGGGCACAAGGTCCAGCCATTCGCCGGTCGAATTTTTACCGATCGAAGGTTAGGTTTCGCAGTTGGGTCTGCGTACCGATCTGTGGCCCCTGTAAGCCCTCTCTCTCCTTCACCAATGTCCCCGTATCACGTCAGTACAGTCAGTTCTGCTATCACGCTACTTTTCCTTGAACAATCCTGCCTTCGTCTGTCCTGCTTTCTTTTCTTTTTTTCTTTTTTTAATTCCGTCGTCTCTTGAGTTCTCCTGTCTCTCGTAAGTCGTAGGATTCGCTTTTTTAATTATGGAAATTGACGACGTCCAGTACAATGCATAGACCTACATAACGTGGAATAACTGAGAAAAACTATAAAAATGAAACCTCTCTACGGACATAATTCTTAATCTCATATTCAAGATCCCGTATAAAGATTGCCTGTCCGTATATTCCCATCATAACTTTAATAGCATAATCTCCGTGGATAATGCTAATAATATGGTTCGCAGGCTTTTAACAACCGCGATCACCTCAATCTCTACAAAACCCAAGAAAATAAGACGTTGATTAACAGAGGCAGAGGAGAACCATCCGAACAAAGACGCGCTGTCTCAGCTCCACGAACAAAGAGGAATTTCGTGAACCTACACTGGCTCACGAAGATATCTGTATGCGTTATACAATATGTTACACGTATATTTTACGTGTTACATAACATTTTGAAATTCCGTTATCGCCGTATGTGTTACACGAGTAGTTCTGCAACTTCATTAACGCTATAATGAGACGCAACAGTCGTGATTATATCGGTCAAATTTGAAACCAATCTGAAATTGTATGTGGAAGATGCAAGACATTTATTGCGAAGATATATTTACGATAGTAAAAAATTAATACGCGGCATGAATAGTCATCATCAGCTAAACTGATTATTTACCGTAAAGATATATTTAGTAAAACTTAATATACGCCAAGCATGTATAGCCATATGAAACATAATATGTGTCAAGCGTGATTCCATCTCTGTAATTACCTCAGTAGTCTTGTAATTTCCACACGTAAGACCTCAGTAAGTTTCGTGTCAAACTTTACCAACGCGGTACGTACAACTCGAGTCTCGTCAGAGAGCCAGTGAAATTTGAAAACGTTCCGTACAACTCACAAAATGCGTTCGTAGAAGGTAATGCACACTTTCGTGAACCCACGTACGAGAAGACAAAAAGATAGAGCAAGAAGAATACAGAATAACGACAGCGTTCTGTAGAATTGAGCAAGAATCCTGCATTGTTCGAAGAGGCTGGAAGACGACGGAGAAGCTCTTATCAGAGCAATTCGTGCGGCGTGTGGTGTTATCAGGAACGACTGTACCTGAGGATCGTGAGTTAGAACAAGGCAAAAGCGGCTCAGAGTGGAGGCCACTTCTCCGGGTTGTCCCCTCCTGGCGGGGACACGTCGCGTTCTCGGAGGACAACGACGACGACGAAGGAGAGATCGCCAGTCAAGACCCCGGCGAAGAAGAAAAGAGAGACGAGTGCGGCCGTGGCGAGGCTTACCACGAGGCCGTCGCGAGCGATCAGTTCGGTCGACGTGCAGAACCGGCACGGACGTCGTCGCCGATTGTGAACCGGCAGTGAGCTACCATAGAGTACCACGGATAGAGAGCATTAGCCGGAGGATGCCTCTTCCCTTCACTGGATAACGTCACCCGATTCCTCGTGTACGTTTTCAATTCGACATACACTGCCGGCCATAAATATTAGGACAGCCGCTTTATCGAAAAGTTCCAATAAATTTTACTCGGAACTCTTAACGCTCTTCGGGTAAAATTACGCGAACAAAATGCCGGATTTATAATCACAGCGCGGCTTTTTACACAAACTCCAATCTTTCAGAGTATAATTAAAAAAGTACAGACTCGGTAGAAAATTGTGTTACACATCAAATATCGCGTAGGAAGTTGTATACTTTTGATGTTTTACTCGAAGTGCCCCATGTAGTTTTGTTTGTCTAGTTTCGAGTTTCCTGCGAATACGTGAAAATTTTGAGTAACCCGGTATATTCGGAGTAACTGGGAAACAAATACTATCAGATGTCCTAATACTTTTGGTCGGCACTGTGTGTATTTTCATAGCTTTTTATTACCGAGTCCTTGGCTATTGTGAGTTCTTTTTTGCTTGTTCATTGAGTTTCGTCCCGGTTGTTTTTTCTTCTTTTTTCTTTCCGGTTTGTTTTATTTGTTGGTGAACGTGTGGTCGAGGTGGAGGCTCAGATTGCGTTGAGGATGGTTTTTTTTGCTAGACTTTAGAAGGTATCAAATTTGAACGGCGACCGGGGGGAATAGCGCCAGTCGGGATTGTAAGGCAGTGGGTTAAAAGACCGGATGTAACTGTTCGCGACTTCGTGCTGCAGAGATCGCTTTTAGTTCTATTTCTCTCTCTTTCGATGTTTAGTTCAGTCAGCAATGTTCTTACAGGGTTTGTGGATTTTTTAGAAGCATTAAGTGATACAGTGAATTAATTTTATTTTTCTACAAGCTGTTAAATGAACGCAGCATTTTTTTTATCGTATCGCTTTAAAATTCTTCTCTTAAGATGTTAAGGGTAGTCGACTGCCGCGAAAACAATTTTTGAAGATGTTTTTAGTCTTCCATTTAACACCTTCGCTACTCTAATGGAACGAAACATTTGCTATAAATCATATTCTGTTTCTTGTACTTTTTTACAAAATATTCAATGATATAATACCATATATCTTTATTATATTTTTATATTATTATACATATTTAATAATCTCGATAGATACGGTCCCGAGATTCTTTTACTATTTTCTACCAATCGTTCATTTATTTCTTAGCTGAAAATTAAACGAGAATAGATAAAGAAATGGCTACAACCATTTCAAACAATTCAACCGGGATTATATGGTTGTTTTTACACGTAAAATACATTCTTGTTGAAACACTATGCGTTCTCTGAGTCTTCTTTGCAATTTGCCACATATTACGAACATATCACTTATACAGGGTGTAACAGAACATGTACGACCCTTTGCGGCAGCTTATTGTGCACGAAAAAACAATGAAAAAGGTTCATATAAACGTATGTTGTACGTGTTTTTGTTTACGATATACGACGAATTTTCTGTTTTAATTTCCTTTGTCCAATTTCTTTTACAGAACATTCGGTTGCACTCTGAAGGGTTGCCAATGTCGTTTACCAAATTTATTAAGAAGCTTGTTCTATTCTGAACGCTAGTATTTCAACATTTTCGATACATGTTGCATATCCTTACACGATAAATTCATCGTATTTCATAAACCAAAAGAGATAAAGAATACTGTTTTACATTGTTTTTTGGTGTACAGTCAGCTGCCGAAGTGGGTCCCATATATTCTGTCACACCTTGTATAACGAACACACATTACGAAAACGAAGTGTTCCCATTTATACGCTGGCGAACGTGTTAAAGGAGTCTCGTACGTCTTATTATTAATCGCGAACGACTATGAAAATTAGATTCTCTTGTTTAGTGTCCTCCGCTAATTTTTCCTGGAAAACGGCCCCTCGTTCGGGAAGACAAATTCACCGGGCGTGGAAAAATTCCTGAACGTTACTTTCGCGTTTTTTTACTTTATTATTTTTTTCCTTATTCCACGAAACGGAGCAGTTTAGAAAATCGAGGAATATCGTCGCATTAAGAACGAATTCTTCTTGCTTCGCATCGTAAAATTCGCTTTAACGATCGCGCCAGGGAAGTTACCGGGGTCTCGCCTTTTTCCGGTAAGGTCATCGGTAGGAAAGCTCGCCTTATACTGCCATTAGTATAATTAACCCAGATTTTCCCGGATTTATGGTGAACGGCGTGCGGGTCAGAGCCGTGCTCACTGTATTGTAGTGCCTCGTCCACTTCGTTGTTTCTTCATTTCTTCGGTCGAAGAAGGAGCAGCATTTCTGTCGGTTGGCATAGCGAAAAATATAGCAAATTAGCCGGTGAAAAACGATGATGTAAAAAAAGAAGAGCTGGGTTTTGTACTTACAGCCTGAGATTGATAGTCGATTTTCTTCATTTTCATGTATCGCGAATTAGAAGCTAAATATAGGAAACTAAGGAATGAAAGAGGTGGAAATGAAAGAAAATTTTAAACCTAGGATCTAAGGTTGATAAACGATTTTCCTAAATTTATAATAACTATTGAATTAATATTAACGCAACTGTGAGTGGAAAAATAGATTCTGTTGTCTCTGTTCATTCTTTGAATCGGAGAAGAAATACGATTTTTCGTGGTTGGGGTCGAAATAGAAGATCAAAAAGTAATTGTGAGAAATTTAAATTCTGAGTTTACGATGATTTAGAAGACTCGTCAGTTTTAGGGCAGTAAATAGAAATCATTACGATTGAAATGTACGAATTAGGGAATTGAGGAACGAAAAAGAAGCGCAATATTAAATTTAGAGACTGCCATTGACGGATTTATTTTTGCCATTTCTCAAAACTACTAAACGTAAAATTAGACGCTAATAATATTCCTCCAACTACTGATAAAACCAGTCGAGCAATTAGAGAAAGATCGCGGGGTATCGGTTAGTAATAACGAGACATTGTACAATATTAATTCGCGTTCTTCTCGGGTAATTACCATGGAACGCGTCGACGTATTGATTGATTGCATTCGGTGGACGAAGGAGCAAACAGGGAAGTCGAGTGTGAATATTTAAGTATCATCCGAGTTGATAATTTCAATCAGCCTTCGACTGTGTTTAAAATAGGAAACGTTAATTATTATTTATGACCATGGCGAATGAGTAATAACTTTGCATTCTCATCGAAGGTAGTAAATGATGGAAAGAAAAGTTATAAGATCAAGATTAGAGTATTCGAAAATTAAGAGATATAATATAAGAATAAATGTTGTACAATTTTGTATTTAAACTTGATTATAATTATCTAGAAACTAGAAATTAATAGAAAATAAAATTAATTAGAAATGAAAATATCGAAAAATTGAGAAAGTTAAGAATTAAAGCTATAAAATTGCATTTCAAGTTTTCCCTAAAATCAAGTATACGAAATTACAACATGAAAAAATCGAATGGTTAAGAATTGAAACTATCAAATTTCCATTTCAAATTTCCCTAAAATTAATTATATCGATGTAAGATCAGAATATCGGAAGAATTTGCTGAGATGGAAAATTGAAAGGTTAGAGAATGAAAACTATAAACGTTGTTTGTTTCAAATTTTATTAAAATTAATTATATAAAATTTGTAATAAAACGATGAGTTTCGTTGGCTATTGCAACGATTGTAGGGTGTACTTTCGTTCAGGAGAGACATTCGCATTTAACACGAACGGGTATTCAGGAAGCCAGAATGTCGGAGGGCTGTACGAGTTGCAGGGGTGCGAATTATGCAGGCACCACGCTGCAGTTAAGCTCGGCTTCCGGTGGCGGGTCCGGAAGCGGCTCCTCCGGATCAGGAAGCTCTTGCACAACTACAAGAAGAGTACAGGTACGCGCCAAGGTGCTCTATGGCTCTGGCAAGGCGATCGCCAGCTTGCAAGCTCAAGAGAAAGCCGCCAGGCACTGATAAGGTTCGTATCACTTAATTTTCAAAGCAACAATAATATAAATCAATCATTAGACGAATTTTTTACATGTAATCCATCCACTTTCCAAACAATTCTAACTCGTTCTGTCAACATTTCCATTATTATTTTATGATATTTAGTGCATTAAAATCATGAAAACGTCACATTCAACATGATTAGTTACTATGTTCTGGAAATGGAATATTGACACATGTATATGCATATGACAGCTGTACAAGAAAGAAATATTTTCTTAATGGAAATTTGATTTTCATGAACAAAAATTAAATATATTAATACTACCATTTATTCGATGGGATAAAAAATATATTTTTTCTAATGAAGAATGCAGTAACGTAAAGATAGAGATTCCGGCGATGAATCTAGTTTCTAAACATTTTTAACTCACGAAGAAAAATTCAATATAAGAAATCAACTGTTTATATATCGAGATAAAGTATTATGTTTTCGATTAGGATGGAGGAAACGTAAAGGTAAAGATTCAGAAGATCAAGAGAATGATATTGTTTATCAAGACGATAGAAAATATCTTGAACGACGATAAGCAAAGATTTCAAATCATCCGCTGATCCTATCATCTTAGAAAGAACAGAGCAGAAACCTCGAGCGATGTTAAAAAGAATATTTGAGAAACAACAACAAAGTAACACAGACTCTCCACCCTTAATCTTACTTATCTTAACAAAACCCATCTTCCATTACCATCGATCAACCACCAACACCCGCTAACACCGCTCAACATCATTCATCAACTATTATCGATCTCGCCTTGGTTCCGACAAATCTTCATTAAAATTCCCTGTCAGCCAATCGAACGTACGAAAGAACCAATCATATCGCGAGGAAAGATTAAAGACCATGCATATAGTACAAGCCACGAATTACCATAGTATCGATCTCCTTTGCAAACGGCTGTCCTAACTGGAATCGGGCACGACGTCTCCTCGAGGCGTTAATCCGAGTCGGATTCGATGCTTCTCTCTTTTCGTTTCATTTCTACTCGGACAGCTATCGTTATGGTGTAAATACAAGGAGGAGAGAGAGAGAGAGAAAGAGAGAGAGAGAAAGAGGATTCACGATCTGCCGGCAGTATATCGCGAAACATTCGATCGAAATCAAAGAGGTGAGGCCCGGAGGGCAGCCTGAGTAACAGTAAAAATCCAAGAAAAAGGTGCACGACCGGCCGATCTGGTAAAAAGAGTAAAAAGCCGGTCAATCGGCCTCCACGAGGCTTAGTACTTGGTGAACCGTCCTCGAGAAGGCCACGTATCACGAAGGACACCTCCTGCGCGCCTGTTCGATCCACGGGGAAGGGTTGAAGCGTGATCTAGGTCGAAGTGCACCCTCACAGGGATCCTTCTTCTTGACATGAATCCTACAGCTTTGTGAGTTTCTGGATTTTTATCTGGATATCTGAATCTTCCAGTCTCGTTAATCGATTGATCGTTCAGCAAATTCGTTAGTTCTAAGTCTTCTCAATATGAATTTTCTCACTCTGTCAATTTCTGCATCTCAGTCTGTCTCAATAATTCTAAATCATTCTACGGCTAGTTTTAAATCTTCTTTATATGTATCCTTCGCACTTTGGGAGTTTCTAAATTTTTGTTCGGATATTTAAAATTTCCTATCTGATTAATTGACATTGTTTAGTTAATTCCTGATATTCGTCCTTCCACTTTCTGAGTTTCTGTACCTTTGTACCTCATTAATTCATCGTTGTGTAGTTAATTCCGTTTACGAACCACTGTTTTTTGGTTTGTAAAGAAGTATTGCTGTAGTGTATTTTCAGAGTATTTTTGTAGAGGAAACGTAATACTTTAAAATTAGGAATAATTTAAAACAAATATGTACGTTCGTTATTCAACTAATTGATGGTCTATTACAGCAACGTAATAAAGTAGTAAAAGGATTAAGTGGATTTTTAGAATCGTCACTTTCCCAATTAGGATCTTATGATATTTTTATATTTTCATTCCCTTGCAACTAATTTGATATCCTAATTTTCATCATAGAAATATTTCGTTCACAATCTTTTGCTAAAATTCTGGTTCGTTTAGGTGTATTTCCCATTTAAACGTCTATGTTCCTTATCCTTGTTAATTCAACAAATTTTCTGTACATCCTTTCTACATCCAGTAAACAAGGAAAACATGTTATGATTTTATGTTCTTCAGCATCTTACAATCTGTGGTCCCGTTACATCTCTCCGCATTCCAAATAAAGATTTGTGTTACTTGGTCATAGTACCTGGAATTTCGCCTCGTCGTTATTCACCATTGAATTAATTCCCATCAATACTACGTACTACTTACTCAGTAGTTCTTATACTTTAGCGTCGATTACATCTTGTCGTATATTTCCGTCATTTCCAGTTCTAAGTTTTACGCCCCAGTTGCTCAATACTCTCCTCATCGTCTAATGTTGATTATCCTCCACTTTCTAATTTCCTTTTTATTCATAAACACAGACATATTTTATTTTCACCTCCGTTCGGAAATACTTTTTACATTTTCCTTCTATAAACGTAAATACTTCATTTTCGTCGCATTTACTATAATTTTTTATTGTAATTCGATTAAATAGATATTTCAGTTTCGTTTAAACTATGATTACATACTATCGGCTTTACGCATTGCAGTCATCGTATTAACATTACAATCAATAAGTAGAAGACTATTATGATTTCTGTAATATCAAATATCAATCTTCTCATCGAACTCTAATAGAGTAGCTCCAACTCCGATAAACTCTTCGTATTGCAAAATCAAATCGTCACTTTCGATTCCATCGATGCCATCGACTGTCAAGCGAAGTTACAAACTCGCCAAGGTATTCTACACACAGACAAATCTCTGCTCGTCCACGAAGAAAGTTCGTTTCTCGCTTGTTTACCATTCTGTATTCACTCGTATTCTCGCCGAGTAATTGACTAGAAAAATTCTGCTAACGGTTATTTGCATATTACGAATGCGTACGTACGCATCGGTGATCGATGATCCAGTTCGATTTCACCGTGACGAGAATGACGAGGCCGTTTAGAACAGAACGGGCAACCGGTATCGTCGATCGGGAGTCGATCGGTCTACCGCGATCAGTGCAATTAAATGCGGCTAACGCGATGGAATGCAAATGCGGTGGCTGCACGTGCTGCAACGAACGGCATTCAAACGCGTGCCAGAAACACAACCATTCACGTTCTGCTCTTTTGTGCGATTTATCCCGTGAGAAAGTTAATGTCACGGCCGAGAAAATGCGAAACTGAACATCACGTCGTCGTGGAACGTTTTGTGGCAATTGCAATGGAAGATCGTAGATAAAAGAGCGAAACATATTCATACGGAAGCTTCTTCATTTTCGCGTAAGAGTTTCCAATCTCGCCTAGTGAAATTCCTGAAATTTTATTCAGGGATTCACGTCGTGGCGCATGAATTCCATTCGAAGATTACCGAAAGGATGAAAAAGATTTTCAACGGTTCGCGAAAGTACACTTTTACAAACTTTCCGTGTCCAAATTGTATGAAACATTTTGAAATCTCGCGAGACACGTATATTGTGGTTATGTTGCTAAAATTTCCTAAATTTACACGAGATAATTATTGGAAGTATACACGGAGCACAGACAATTGTTTACTGTGCTAATAAGTCTACTGTGCTACATAAGAATATGTAGCCAGACCATCTTTGGCACTAATTGTATGATCAACCCTCGGTAGGCTAATCGTGAGATTGATACGACAGATACATGTAAAATCTAATTCTAAATATTTTGAAGTTCATTCGGTAATTAAATCAGTAAATGAGGATTTCCTGTGGACAACATTGTAAGCGGAAAAATGTTCAAACGTTGTTTTCTTTATCGTGTGATGTCCTAATGCTAATGCTGTCCTAATGCTAATGGGAACACTGTAGTACAGAATTTAAAAGCTATCTCCGTTTGTAAATAATTGCTAATAGTGTTAAAATGTGATAATCGCCGATATGTCCAACATCGCTTATCCACTTAAGACAATGTAAGTGTCATTAAGAGATAGAGATGCTGGAACGCATGCACGTTAAATATCACCGATTTTATAATAATTTTTACTCGGGAACGTTCTAAAATATACTTTTGTGATAAAAGTAAAAAGAACATGTTGAAAAAATGTATTTTTTATACGAGTTATTTAAAGACAAACAGGATTGGCATTAACTGCGTTTGCGAATAAATAGGTAAATGGCACATTTAGTTTTCTCGGAATTTTCACTATAGTTAGCAAAAAGAAGGATAGTAGATAGTTTGGGGTAGGTTAGGATTCTAAAGTAGGATTAGATGGGAAAATTGATTGAAATAGAAGATAGAAAATTTCGTGACGAATTTGCATTATCGTACGCTTCAGATCGTATAATAATCAAGGCAAATGAAATTTTGAAAATAATTTTAAGTCGCAAAAACTTCTTCTCTATCTTTAAAAATTGGATATTTCGTACTTGCAATGTTGTCTGCGACACGTCTTTAATTATACAGTTTATATGTATATACTGTAAATATACCTATATATTATATTTTGTATCTTAGTACAATTAAAGACTTTTCATGTACTTTTCGCAAAAATTCGTTGCAGCATACATTTGAAGTTACTGTATAAGGCTAAGATTATTCGTGTTGCGTACTAACTTTCCACTAAGTATACGTTTGCGATAGATCTCTTGTAACCTGTATACACGTGTCCTCATTGCTTCGCAATTTTACTATCGAAGAACCAGGACATTTTGTTGCTAACGAGATTTCAAAAAGTTGTAATATCACGAAGCAAATGATTCTTCGAATATCATTCAGGGGTCGAATTTCAATTGAATTTTACTTTCCAGCATCCTCCTCGTCCTTCTTTCCTCCGGTTTGTCGAAGTCAGCGACGAACCATGAGACTCTGCGATCATCTTCCGCGAAAGTATCTTCGACTCTTCGACCAACAAACGAATCCACGTTCTACGACCGATCCAATCGAGACGATGATAATTCCGAGGCGATAGAAACTTTATTTATTCCCGAGAATCTGAGTCAATACGAACAGATTCTGCTCTACGTGCGAGAATTATTTCAAGGAGTGGAACAATCTGCCGATTTGTACGATCAAGAAGTTCCGGCGAGTCTTGAGAGAAACGTAACTGATAGTACGAGCGACGAGGATCGATTTTCGAAGCTGGAAGAGCGAGTCCGAGAGTGGAATTCGCCGTCAGACAGAGAAGAGGACGAGGAAATCTATCCGCAGAGAAATCCCGAGGGAGGAGTTTCATTGGGAACAACCGTGCAGGATAATAGAATGGATGACGTAATTTCGACAGAAAGAAATAACTATGACGCTGGCTACAAAGGGAAAACCGAGCCCGACGAGGAAGACTTGTTGGAGGCGGCTAATTTTGGGCTCGATGCCATGAAGGATCTGTATACTGTTAAGGAACCGAAGCTTTACTCGATGGGTGAGATTTTTCATAGTTCTTGAACAATCGCTTTTTCATTTAAAAAGGCATAATTCTTGCACGAGATTTTAAAAAGATTCGACAATAATTGGGAAGATTTTTCGAGGGTGCAAGAGAGATAGTTTATTCATGAAATTTATGGAAATTAGGAATGTTAGAGATAATTGGACGAATTGTTGGTATTAAATATTGTTAGAAAGAAAATTATTGATTTGAATATTAACTATTACTGAAAGTTTTAGTTATATTCATTTTTATTATATATATACAATATACAGTTAATATATATATACAATATTATTTACATAATATATATTGTTTTAGTTATATGCGTTTTATTATTATATATATATACAATATGCAGTTAATATATAATATTTTCAATATATAGTTGAACAAAATAATGAAAACAACTCTTATATGTCTTTATCATGTATATGTATGTATATCCCTTTATGTTATGTATAAGTATATGACGTATATGAAGTGTCTCCATTATTTGTCCAACCTCTGTATAATAATTAAAACACAATTATTAATTTAAATAATAGAGGTCGTTGCAAAATGTTCCAAACTCTACTTTCACATTTACTCTTATGTTTCTCATACAATTCTCACAATTTCTTCATCTATGCCCTATCTAAAAAAAAATTTGCAGGAAAAGTGAAACACGCTGTATAAATGTCAGTTCTAATAAAATCGCCATATAAACACAAATCAAACCCACAAACTATACAAACAACGATCGACAACATCTAATTGCCTAATTAAAAGGTACAAAGTTGATCTTTAAATACAACTTGAACAGGTCTTTACCTGGACTCGGACAATCCTGCGAGGCACGTGGCAGTTTTTAACGAACAAACAGAAGAAGCAAGGTTCCTCGCCAAGTACGGATACGCGGTTCTTCAGGGCACCACGTTGTTCAGAAGAAAGTAAGAACACCGTATTTTACATCTTGCCTTCCGCAACTTTGCACTCTTATTTAATCTCGAAATTTCGACGACTCGTTTGCTCAAGATTCCCAAATACTCCGGCAGACTCGCTTCTGTCTCGTCGCAGTCAAAGCAATCCACTTCAACGTGGCTGCCCAAACAGAGGAGTTCCCAACTGTCCGGCGGCCAGTTTGAGATACAGAACGTCTGATGGAAGCTGCAATAACCTGCATCATCTATGGTGGGGCTCCGCCATGTCCACTATGCAAAGGTAATTCACTAAATGAAAATCACGGGAGTAATAGTAGTAAAAAGAAGTAGGAACGTTATAAATTATATCCTTTCGTGTTTCATTGACGAGCAATCCTAAAATACAATGATATAAAATTGATTGGCTATTATACGTTGCTGTATCAATCTATTTTACATCGTTGTATTTTAGGATTGTTCTTCTATAAGACATGAAATATACAGGGTGGTTGGTAACTGGTGGTACAAGCGGAAATTCTACGCGAAAAAGGAAGTCGAAAATATAGAATAAAAATTTTTCGTTTGAGGTTTTATTTTCGAGAAAATTGACTTTGAATTTTCGCTCGGTACGCGTGCGGTACGTTATAACGGATTTCAATGTAGATCGTTGTCTCGATGGAAAAATTAAAAAAAACAAAATTTTTATTCTATATTTTCGACTTCTTTTTGTATAACGTACCACATCCCTACTTCTCTTTTTATATTATTATTTGGAATATATATGTATAGTGTATATACTATTGGCAGTTTTATATCTATATCTAATACAAAATAACATAAAATTGTCAATTATATCACTCATCATATGTACAGATTATTGTATATTTGTACAGATATATCATTGTACAGATTATATATTATTATACAAAATTGTTTGGTAATTTATGTTATATTCATTAGTAATTTATATTAATTTCTCTCTTCTTACTTGATGTTTGTCACTTTCCTGGACGTTTCGAAGATGCCATTGGCTTGTCACGAAATTTCATAAGTTTATCGACTATTTCTAAAAGAGTTGCATCTTCATCGCAATTAGCGATATTCTCTTCTGGCTGTAAACTAGTACAAAAATTAGGGAATGAAGAAAATTGGGTCTGCGAATATCGTGTTTCCTGCCTGTGGTATATAAATGCAGTGACTTTAATTGAACGAATAATCTAAGCTTCAGGATTAATTTGACTAGGGAAAGATAATGAATTTGATGGATGTTCGTCAGGTTCCTGCCTTCGGTTTACGATGATGGCATTCAGAGTATCAGGAAATCGGTGACAGGAAGACCACTTCCTAGCGCAAGACTAGTGACCACGGTGATTCACGAGAACAAAGATGTCCCCTTGGAAGCTGTTACTCATATGCTCATGCAGTGGGGACAGTTTGTCGATCATGATTTAACAGGTGGGAATTTTCAGCAATTTTTGAGAATGATAGTTCCGTACGATTAATTATAATTACGTTTCCACAAGACTTCCTTAAAAAGTTCTACAATTTTACCTAATAATATTCGTGTAAATCAAAGAATGATAAGGACTTGAAACTTGAGAGGAAACCAAATACATAAATTTAACGTTCCATTTTTCCAATGTGACTTTATTTAAAACGTTTTAGGAAATCAATTTGAGAATCTATTTAAATCAAAAAACGATAATCAGCGAACATGCAGAAGGAAACTAGAACTCTGTCAATCGAAACGTAATTATAGATTTCCATAAATTTAATATCCAATTTTCCTAGTCAGAATTACTAAACAATATTGGAACCATCAAGATAGAAATTTTCTCATCTCATGTGCTCCCTTTAGCCACCGGGCAAGGCAGAGGATTTAATGGCTCTATACCACAATGTTGTCTGAAATTCGGATCCGGTTTCCAACCACCGGAATTCATGGTACATAATTGCACTTATAACTCGATCCTCCACCACTTATTAATTGATTTTTCTAAGAGTAAAATATATCTCCACAGCATCCAGAATGTTTGCCAATATCAGTAAGCAAACACGATAATTTCTTCGGTCCTTTGGATGTTAAATGTTTAGAGTTCGTTCGAAGCGGCTCAGCACCGAAAGAAGATTGTGAATTTGGCCCCAGAGAGCAATTATCACAGGTGACAAGTTATCTAGATGCTTCTGTGGTATACAGCAACAGCGCCTTTCAAACAGACTCCTTACGATTATTTCGGAATGGTGAGACTTTATTATAAATTTAATTTATCTAAAAATTCACTCAAGAACGATACTTTATATATATATATTTTTTTTTCCTTTTATATTTTATATTATAAAATTTGGAAGAAGCCTAAGGCACCCAAAGCGAATTAAAATTTTAAAAGAGGACCAGTGTTGTGTATTTTTAATTATATTTAATTAATTAATTTAATAATTCGTTTCCTTAAATTCACGGGTACAATTTTTCTCGCCCTTTTTTTCCTTTTTTTTTAAATCAAGCAACGAAAGTGAATTAAAACTTTGAAGAAGATCAGAATAAGTTTAATGTTAAGCTTGTTCAATTAGTATTTGTAGAAAATAATTTCATCTCGTTCATTTTGAAAATTTTTATTTATATCAATCTTAAAAATACCCACTAAGAATAAGTTTCTTAACTTCGATTAATATGTAATATTTTTACATGTAATATTATGTTCACAGGTTTATTGCAATATGGGAGGATTCAGTCGCAGAGACCGGTGCTACCTAAACTCGATGCCGATCTCTGTAGACGCGGATCATTATCCACGAATTGCTTCAAAGCTGGCGATGGTCGTCTCGGCGAGCAACCTGCCCTCACGTCTCTTCACGTAGCGTTTTTGAGGCTTCACAATAGAATCGCGACGAAACTTGCCGCGTTGAATGCTCATTGGAGCGACGAGAAACTATTTCAAGAATCCCGGAGAATCGTCGCGTCCATTGTCCAGCACATCACCTACAGAGAATTCCTACCTATTGTTCTTGGTAAATTGAACGTTCAAGTGGAAATCGAATTACTCGAACGATTCTGGTTCTTCTGATATCTATAACACTACGACGATTGGCTAACTCCGCCAAGAATTAACATCGAAATATAGTTTTGTTATTTTCGAAGAAAATTTTCTAATGTTATTTATGCATCGTCAAATAATAAATCCATAAGAGAACTCTTCGCAATGATGGTTGTGACGAGGATTTTCTTCATGATTAAAATGTCCTATTTATCGTTTGATAGTTTCAATGTTAATCGGCTATTATCGAATATAAGGAACTTGATCGGTTAGTTATTATCGGATATCAGAATTGAGCATAGTTGAAAAAGGATGTAGAGATAGAAGTAACGGTGATCGAAACATTCCAGGTCAAGACGTGATGAAAATATTCGACCTCGAACTCTTAAAGAAAGGCTATTACGAAGGTTACGACCCAACAGTGAAACCAACTGTCGCGAATGCGTTTTCTACGGCTGCCTATCGCTTTGGTCATTCTCTGGTTCAACAGAGCTTCGTCCGATTTAACAGCGATCATCAGCCAATTTTCAACAGTCAGTATTCTATCTTGGAAAATCTTCTATCAAGAAATACAATGTACAAGGAATTTCCTAATTAAAATATAAAAATTGCTACATTAGAATGCTAGAAAATCACGATATAACATAAAGTACCAAAAGTTTCATAATTTCTTCAATTTACAGATGTTTCCATCCACAACGAGTTCATGAATCCAGCAAACCTGGAAACAGCCGGCTCAGTGGATCGTCTTCTTCTTGGTCTGATCAATCAAAACGCCCAAAGAAGAGACGAGCACATAAGCGAAGAGTTAACCAACCATCTGTTTCAAACTCCAAGATTTCCCTTTGGAATGGATCTAGCTTCGATCAACATCCAACGAGGCAGAGATCATGGAATTCCCCCATATGTACGATGGCGAGAGCCCTGTGCTCTATCGCCGATAAAAAACTTTGACGATTTAGAGAGAGTTATGCCACCATCCACGGCTAGAAAGTTCAAATTAGTCTACTCGTCTGTCGAAGATATTGATTTATTCACTGGAGGACTTGCAGAGAAATCAGTGAAGAGCGGTTTAGTTGGACCCACGTTTGCTTGTATAATTGGCCAGCAGTTTAATAATATACGTAGAGGAGACAGATTCTGGTATGAGAATTCAAAGCAGGAAGGCAGTTTCACACCTGGACAGCTCCAACAAATCAGGAGAGTCACTCTAGCTCAAGTTCTTTGCTCAACTATGGATAGTATAGAGACTATACAACCATTTGTGTTCTTGACACAGGATACTCTGAAGAATCAACGTAGGCCTTGCAACGATTCTATTATTGGACAATTGAATTTAGAATCATGGGCAGAGAGAGGTCCAAAATTTAGAAGAGAAGGTATCATTGATAAAATAAAGAAGTACGCTTCAGTCAGTGCAACCACTTCAAAATCTACAGATTTATATTCTCATAACTTAAACCCTGCAAAAACAAGCGTTCAACAGCAGAACAGGATTGTCGTGAAGAAGCCTTTTGGTCCTGCAGATAATCTAACCATAGTTGTACAAAATAATGCAATTAATTCGCCTGTCTTTGTGAATGATGCTATCTATGGGTCCAATATAAAAGTGAATCCCTCGTTGGTCCAGGAAGTACAACAGAGACCAGTTTCTGAAGGATCTATGCCTATTCCAACTTATCTTCCAGCAAAACCTGTGATAATAGCGCATCCTCTAGGAAATCCTGCTTACCCTTATGTTCCATATGCTTTCAGTGATCCCAATAATCCTAATCCTTTGAGCCAAGGATATAGACCTAGCTACTCTAGCGATGTTGTGTTTGATAGTTTCCCTGGAACCAGTCCAAGACCAACTTTGTACACTTATTATACCAACTTCCAAAAATTGACTACTCAGAAACCTTCTCAAGATGTGGATGCTTATATTACAAATTATAAAACTCAGGACCATGGATCTAAACCAAGCTCGTGGACTAATTTACAATATCAGAGTCAACCATCGTCCAAACCAGTTTACAGTTCTACTCAGAGACCTGAAGATGTGGACGCATATATTACAAATTATAAACCTCAGGACCATGGATCTAAACCAAGCTCGTGGCCTAATTCACAGTATCAAAGTCAACCATCGTCCAAACCAGTTTACAGTTCTACTCAGAGACCTCAAGATGTGGACGCATATATCACAAATTATAAACCTCAGGACCATGGATCTAAACCAAGCTCGTGGCCTAATTCACAGTATCAAAGTCAACCATCGTCCAAACCAGTTTACAGTTCTACTCAGAGACCTCAAGATGTGGACGCATATATCACAAATTATAAACCTCAGGACCATGGATCTAAACCAAGCTCGTGGCCTAATTCACAGTATCAAAGTCAACCATCGTCCAAACCAGTTTACAGTTCTACTCAGAGACCTCAAGATGTAGACGCACATGTTGCTAATTATAAGCCACATGATCATGGACCTGAATTGAATTCGTGGCCTAATTCACAGTATCAGAGTCAACCATCGGCCAAGCCTGTTTATGATTCTCCGGAGCACAATAATCAAGGACATGGAATCAGTATTTGGCAGAAATTGCAATATAAGCCTGTGGTTTTGGTCGGTCAAACAGATTCTGGTAATTTACAGAGCTATGCACAAACTTCGAACCACCCACAGAGTTATCTAAAAGATTCTGAAGATACGTACATCAAACCTGCAAATAGCCAACATGATTACGTAAAAGATTTCGAAAATAGATATACCACGTGGTCTACCATCTCTTCTGATAAGAAGACTGAGGATACAGTAGTAAATGATCCGCACTATAGACCTTATCAAGAACCAAATAGGAAGCCAATACAGAGTAGTTATGGATCAAGTTATCAAATTGATTTCCCTGGCAGACCTACCGCAGGCTTAAACGACCAAGGAACCACAGTCCACTCTAACGCTTTCTATTTAAGTTCCTCTGCAAGACCAATTTCGAATAACGAATATAATAAAGAGTTCAGTAGCTGGCCTGCCAATCAGAACGATTATAATATAGCGACTCACTCGACTCCTGTTTACAGACCAGCGCAGCATGTTAGCGATTATCAGACGAGTAAACCCGAGAACTCTTATCAGAATGTGCAACCTAAACCGTCGAAAATTCACAGCGTGACGATTATCACGGCGAGTCAAAGCGGAAACGAGGTCGACAGACTCGAGAATCGAGTTACCAGTGAAGTTCCAAGACCGTTGAATACCCAAATAGCCAACGACAGAGCGAAAAGGCCTGGGCAGTATTATTACGAGAAGAACGTGCTACATCGGTATCCAGATAAGATGGAGGATCAGCCAGCGTATAACGCTGAACAGAGACATAAATCAACGAGCGACGAGGTGTCGATCGATGATACTCTTATCGTGGCTTCCGTGAGGAATCAGCTTATCGATGGAAATGGCAACAATACAGACGTAAAGACAATGAGTCAGACGAGAAATGAATCGTCCAATAGCACAACAAGCGATGATGTGGATTACGGTCTCGGCGATGCTTTCTCAGAAGAGACTGAAATTCCGCCAAGCTACAGGTATACATTTTATTGTCTTTGCATATGTTGTCTTCCTACTACGATAACGGCTATTTACAGTCGACAAAATGCTCGCAAAATTCTCTCTATTGTCACCGCTTCGTAAGATTCTTATCTTAATCGGTGTAGATAGAAGATAACGAACATTTATTGTAGGTGCTTGCGCGTGTGATTTTACAAGGTTTTCTCACTTCCCTGTTCCCTTTTTGATAGAGCAATGTAACACAGTTTCAATTTTTCATACTTTGGAAACGTCTTGGATCATCAAATGGGTTTCGAAATTGCAGTTCGAGTTTCTTACCAATTTTTCAGATACTCCGGCATATGAACAAGGTCTCTTCTCGATGCATCGAGGTGATCGATAGAATAGTGCGAAGTAACGTAATTGAATCTCTGTAATCCCTCTTATCTTTATAATACTTCGTTCAAAATTACAGTCCGGAATTTCATAGAATTTTGAAGATTTTATGAAATACGAACGAAACTCCTCTTCGACGTAATTCAACGATTCATCGAAGCGTTGGCTCATAAAATTAGAAGAACACGATTTACATTTTTCTCGTGATTTCAGAACGAGTCATTGGCTGAACCCACATGAGGACACCAGCCTACCGTCAGCTTTGGAGATGCCAAAAATCCCATCAGACAAAACCAGCGCCGCCAAGGAACTACCAAAACCTATGAAGCTGAGAAATTACGCCATGTAACAATAAGTCCTCTTCCTATCTTCATTTTTACATTCGCTGAACGGTCGTTCCACTTGGTTCGCCACTGCGTAATTCTCGCGAATTAGAGAACGTGTAATTAATTTAATTCTAGACGTAGATCGTTCGCAACGTTAGTATTTATTGTTCTTTTAGAATGATCTTCACTGCGTGAAATGATCGATGGCTTTTAATTTAGCTTGTAAGTGCCGGCATTCAATCCATTGAGGATCAACATTTCATTTATAATTTCGTATTTTAGTCAATTCCAACAAGAAAGTTGTAAAACTCTATTGAATCCGTATTGTGGATCCTCAAAAATATCCTATAAATTTGCAGAAAAGCTTTCTTGCTACTATCTCCTCTTCCACTTAAAAACGTTGTATCTCATTCTAAATGTTACGATATTAATTCATCTCATCTCAATTTTATACAGTTTGATTTGATGATACAATTGGACTATTTTGCAGCACTATGATGAACTAGCTTCTTTTCTCTGAATTATAGAAGTTCATTTCGTGTCTATAATTTATGGCGGGCTTGTGTAATATTATTCTATAATATTTATTATTCTAACATATTTTTTGTATCTTGATGAAACGACGATAGTTTTATCTTTTAATTTAGATTACTACACTGTTTATCCTTAATGGGTTAATGATCATTAGACGTTGATAGTCGTGCGAGACGCGCGTTATTTATGTAGAGGAATAATACACACGACGAGGGAGTATTGCACAATGATTGCATGCGCTTAGAACGTTTCTCAAGGGTCGGATGGAATGTGTAGCCTACTTTTATGCCAATTTTAAACCGTCTCAATGCGCCGCCTGGAACTACTCCGGACTATTTTCAGATGCAGTTCCCGTGTCACTGCGTTTCATATGCCGCCTCTCTACACCAGTAATTTTAATTACACCTTTAGCAACCTCCCTATGTTTCATCCTAACGAACCGTTCTTTAGAGTAACGAAGCATTCTCTTCGAATAGTATCGGTCGACACCGCCGTCGTTTCTCAATTAACACCGGTATAGTATTATGAAATTATGGTACTTGATCAGCGTCGATTTAATAAGCGAATCGAATTAGCCTACATTCGTCTTCTTTTTTTCGATTGTAAAACACGCTTAAATTGTAGATGATGATTATTAAATTCGATCAAAACGTTATTTTCCTCCACGTTCAACTGTGACAGTCATTGGAAATTGAACATCGATCGATCAATGGTACGGCTAAACACAGTGGATTTCAGATCTTTGGTTTTTCATATATTCGTTAAAGTATGCAAACAATTTCGTTAAAACGCTTTTTTTCTTTAATTCGAATCGATAGCCGCTAGAGCGATGGATTTCACTTTTTCTCTCTCTCTTTTTTTTTTGGTTTTTATATTAGTCCAAAGTGGCGAGTGATTTTGACGAAAGTTCAGTTCGAATAGATCGCCGTTGGAACTACGAAACTCGTTAAAATAGTAGATTTTAAACCTTCTAGTTTCTATATGAATGGAAACACGAAAGTGCTTTTAACAATTGCCTACACGGTAGAATCTCGATTACGAGAACTAATAGTGACGCATACTGATGGAATAACAGCGTTCTTTAGGTAATTGAATGACTTTGTTCTCGTACGATTTTAGATATTGAAAACGTTTCTAACAAGGAATCATCCGCAATTTTGACGTTGTTCGAAGTAAAATTAAATCGTTCGATTAAATCAAAATCCATTTTACATTTATTATCATCGTGTCTTAACTTCAATCATTCATGTATTACAGGAGCAGATTCACCAGTCATCTATTGCATATTTAGGTACAAATCAGAAATTTAGTATTAAATTTAATTTAATCGAAGCTTTCTGCAGATCCGAAGGAATTTCATGGTTGTTCGTTAGAGATAGAAGTTTCAGGAAACTGGCGGCAAATAAAGCTCACCAGCTACGATACTCCCGAAGAGTAGAGCCGGTGTTTCGCATCTCGAAGAAAATTCGGTCTTTAACATGCCATTAAATGAAACGTCGAAGGCTGCCTCAATGGCTATTCAACTTGTAAGCCCCGCTTGGAAAGTTCTTACTTTGAACAGTCTGGTACTCACTGCTATAAATTATAAACCTTCCTGGAAGATACATTCCATACTTTTACTGAATCTTAGCGGAGTGCAAAGTTGGAATTTCCTTCGTCGATGGGGAAACAAAAAATCAATATTTTCTGATTCCCCAACGTGCACATAAAATATTGCAGATTCCTGAAGTAACCGTTAACAAAAGAGTCAATGGGTTTATAATATTAATATCGACGATCAAGACGTTTTCTTCGAAAAGAATAGATTGATACGTTGCATGGAAGAATTCCAATTTTTACAAAATTCGGAATTTTTCGTTCTGACTAGTATAAAATCAAATATACTACCGATTAATTCTAAACTAGATATTCTCAGTATTCTAAACTTCAGTTTCCGTAATAAACAGGTATAGTAAATATTCTAAACTTTGATTCCCATAAAATTGAAAATTTTTAATTTCAATTCTCACAAAATTAAATATTGCGAGTTGCAGTTCCCACAAAGTTAAAAATTTTATATTCTAATTGTATAAAATTAAATATTCTAAATTCCAATTACCACGAAATTAAAGATTCTAAGATTGAATAAGACAAATCGTAGAGCTCATAAAACAAAAGAATATATTCTCATCTCCATAAAAATTTTTTTCCTCTTCCAAGAATAAGTGGCGATTCTGGTCGTATATTGCGGAAAAACAGATGCTCGATCTAAGTGATCGCTAGGCGATGGTTTTCGGGTCATCAGAGAGCAGAGGCAACAGTCGATCGAAATGCAGTTTTCGATGTCACGACCTGGATCCGCTGTTTCTGCGGTTTGCTACGTGTTAACCGGGCTCGATGATGAGAAGCGATAGAAACTCGGAGTTTGGCCAAACCAGTTCGTCCGAAGCGACTCGTTTCAATCGTTCGCGCTGTACTTTATTGCAACACCGTTACGATATGCAATAAAACGTCACTCTTTATACTCGGTAACAATAAAAAGGTCTGCATAAAAATTGAAATAACATTTCCAGCAATCGTTTCACGCGACAAATGGCTTGCTTAAAAGCAGTTGTTACCGGACTCGATTTGCCAATTCCGCGAGACTTTCTTCTTAATTACAGGGAATGACCTTTTCCACGACTTCTTTCCCTTTTCTTTATTTCTCTTTTTTGGTTGTTCGATTAAACTAGTCCACAAAAGTGGATCTCTTCGTGAAAGCTTGGCCAGACTGGTATGGATTGGCACCAATGAAAACAGCCAATTGCAGCTACACCCGTTTCCAACATTCTGCTTCTTCGACATCTCATGGAAAATCTTTTTTTTTTTCGATAAATGCAGAACGTGAAATTCCGGTTTAATATAGGTTACATACACTGGCAGATATAAATAAGTATTAGGTCACTTATCAGTATGTATTACGAATTGAATATTTTTCACTGCTTTCATTTTCTAGTTATTTTATTATAAATGTGTCATTCTATTCGCACTATGTGCGAAATACTAGATAAAATAAAATTTATTAGAAAAATACGTGTAAAGTATAAAAATGCAACGAGTATGTGTTCTAATATTTGTGATAAGCAGTGTATACCGATCATATTAAAGATTAGAATCTATGGAGCAAAGTGATTCTAAATATCAGCTAACGATATTCAATCCAAATATGAAATCTATAGATCATAAACGTGTCAACGGTGCTTATCAACGACTCGAAATTGAACGTCTTTAATTGCCATGATAACTTTTCGTAACACTTTGTGCCAACTGGTTTCTGCACGAAACAAATTCGCGGTGCTTATCTTTTAAGTGCATTATCGAACGATTATACAACAAGTTAAATTATTCGAAGGCAAATTGAATAGATTGATCACTTATCAAACACAGAAAAATATTCAGGAAATTCAGACTGAATTAGTCGACAAGAATTATAAAATTGTGTAATATTTATTTTACGTCACAGAATATGTATTTAAAATTACTGGAATGGAAAAAGATGGTTCATGAAGTGAAAGAAATTTTTTGAAATTAATTTCATATTAATTATGAATTTACTTTGCTGAATACAAGATGTTTCAGTGCAGTGTCAACACAAGATTCTTTTAAGTAAAGCTCTTCTGGAAAGTTGCATCAAGTCAATTAAATGACGTAAGAAACATCATGCATCTTTCGCCACGATTCTCACGTTAATTTGCCGTTGCTCCTCCTTTTGTCTTTGCAATTACCGCAGAAAAACAATCCTTCTATCATGCCCATGACACTACAATTAATTAAAACACAATCTTTCGCGCTTCAGGAACAAGGACGCGTGTTTCAAACTTGCGGGAAAAGTCACGCCCTCTGATTGGTCCGTTCACCAGACTATCGAGCCTCCACCAATCGCGTGAGACCGCGAAAATCAATCCTTATAACCGGTAAAAGAACCTCTATCACGTTGCTCCAGAATTTAAAAATACTCAAATGGCATTCTTCAAATTACATTTAACATTATATCAATAAGAACAGTGCCAAAGTAGGTTACAAATCTAAATTATCATCATACACTCCTTTTCAACAGTAAAATCTGAAAACAAGTATTCCTTATAAAATATTCTTTATACATAATTATTATGCAGAAAGCGATACAAAGTTACCGATGAAAAAAAATTTAAAGAAGATACAGAAAATTCGCGAGAGTGAACAGTAAAAGTTGGGAACATAAAATATTTATTATCTATAATTATTATACAAAAAGCAATAGAAGGTAGGCGATAAAAATATATAAAGGAAATAAAAAAATGCGCGACGATGCGTTAACAGTAAAAGCTAAGAACAAATGGATCAGGCATGTCAAAGGAACTTTTTATTACAGGAAAAAAAGACATCAAATATTTCTTACAAAACACTCATTATACATATTTATTACATAGAAATTACTACACAAGACTACAATTATTACAATGCGAAATCATCGATAAAGAGAGTACATAAATATAAAAAAGGTAAAGAAAATACGCCACGGGTCGTTGAACGATAGGAACGAGCGGACACGAACTACGTACGAAGCTTTGCTTCGGCTCGAGTGTGGCGGAGGAGTGGGGATGGTTCGGTTCCGCGTGCCTGCGAGACGAGCCGAGGCATCAGTTCGTAGCGACGCGTCCCTGGCGCAAGTCGCTGTCATGTTTTTCGTACTGTTCGGTGGTTTTCGGCCGAGTGCCGTGGTGCATTATGGATTCGCGGTTTTCGGTCTGCTCTCTGTTCTTCTGGTGTCGTGTCCAGTTAACTGCCAGGAGACACTGACCAATCGGATGCGGGTGATCAGCGAGGATCTGGACCGGCAGCTGAACGGGATCATGGCATCGCAGGGTATCAACTATACGAGAACGAACACGACCGGGCTGCTCTACAACGCCACCACGTATTTCAACCCCAAGGGCATGGGCCAGCTGTACAACGTGACCAACATGTTCATCGACTTCGTGCAAAGCAAGCAAGCCTATCCCGAGGGTGAGTGATAACATCGTTGGAGAATTTTGTTGCAATGGTTTATATGGTTTTATAGGTTATAGGTTATAGGGCTAGGGACAGGTTTTACGCGGCTTTGGTTACGCCCTGTACCGCGCGCTCGAAAATGGCCGGCTGCTTGTTGGTAAACAGATCGCTGTCAGAAAAAATATTACAATTGTGTAATTCCATGCTAGATGAAATTAAATTGGATTCATTCTCGAGATCTGTCGAGATTTTAAGGATAATTCGATATAGGTTTGGGTATATTATAACGTGGAAGGTTGTTAGTGGATTTTTGTGCTTAAGTACACCGTGGATAGGGTATAGAATACACTGCTGGGTAATATTGTAAGTTTATTTAGTTTTATGGAGATTTGTGTGATTTATAAGTAAAGGTAGATATGAATTGTTTTGTGCAACTCGATTTACGTATTGTACCTTATTTTGAATATATTGCTGCATCTTTAAATTACTATAACATAAAATTACTTGCAAATAACGGCAATTAATTGTACGTACAAATAGTACAAAACGTACTTTATTTCGTAGCGTATATTTTCCGAATTTTTATGCGATGAGTTGTTGAACGAAAAAGAACAAATAGCTGCAGCAATAAATGTATAAAAATTCGTAGCCTAGCTATAATACACACAGGCATGTAATACAAAACTCAGTTTCAAAGTATAGTCCTAGCAATAAATCATTGAAAAACGCTAAAAATTACATCGAACGTATAATCCTATCTTGCAGTGTAAACGCGTAATTTCTTTTGAAAACACAAGTGTACTCCGAAAAGACATTTTTCTTCTGGTTGAGTTTATGTTGTTATGAGAGATTCCGAGATTGCTTTTACAAGAGAGGAACATCCTGTGATCTTCTGTTATCAATAAGCTCATTCACTCCAGTTATATTTATCACCAAGGATTTTATAGACCCCTGTATTTACGTGTTTGACCGATGAGAAGCTATATTCTCCGAAAAGTGAAAGGAAAACACGGTCGTATTATTATTATTATTGTCTCTGTTACTCAAATATTATTGGATTTCTCGGAGCACATATTTTTGAGATTCTTGTTAATCGATTCATTCCATTACATTCATTACATTTTATACATGCATTTCCATTATTTTCTCTGTTACTACAAGATTCTTGTATTCTTAACGTTCCCGACAATCGATTTATTCCATTGTACTCCGAAAAATCTTAAAAAATCCAATAAGTACGTTCTTTAACCGAACAATTTTACCTCAATTTTCATCGATTATTATAACTTTCCAGGAAGGAAAGAATACTTAAGAATACTTAAGAATACTTAAACAAACAGAATGTATTATCTAACACAACGTTAGGCTTCGAGAAATTTCAAAAGCCGAAATTCCAGAAACGATACAGTGCGTTCGTCAACTCGACGGTTTTTCCTCAATTTTCATCGCGACGATATCAATCTCTACCTGTTTCGCCTTTCGATTGATCTCGAATTGGCCAGAAAAATCCCGTCCTTTTTTTTTTTTCATAACTCGTCGGCGTTTCCATCGGATCCGACATTTCAGGAATTCCCACGCGAAACACAGCGTCGATCGTTGGGGAAAAAAAGGCGATAACTTGCTGAACTATCCGGATCAACGACCCTTTCGTCGCGTTTAACGTAGTAGGAACAGAGGGCCCGCGCATCTATATCAATTCTAGCAGGAAGTTGATAGCGAGCGTTCGTCATCGTCCAACCGACCTGACATCGTGTCGTCTACCATACTCGTTTCACCTCTTTCCGCCTCTTCTTTGCCAGTAATGCATTACTTCACCTCTTCCTCCCTCTCTTCCTTCCTTCCTTCCTGCTATCGTTCTTCATCCAATTCTGAAGAGCATTGACAATCGAAGGAGCTTCGTCGGTGATCTATTTATTTGCCAGCGGTCTCAGTGGCTCTCAATCTCTTACTCCATTTGGCTAAAAGAAGCCAAGGAAACGTGTATCGATTAACACACGCTTCGTGGTTGCTGATGAGACAGCGTTTCCTTGAAGGAATTTTAAATCTCAGAACTTTCGGTTAGCGCGACCATTGCCACGAATTCTGTGTAATCTGATTAAGATATATTTTAATACACTATTATATATAGGTATATTAATTGATATGCGTTATACTTAAAATATATTGCTATATTAATACACTATTATACTGTATACTACTATATAAGTATGTTAATATATTCTAAGTATAACGTGCAACGTATTGTATTATTTATTATATTGTTATATATTATTGTGTATATATTGTAATATTTAAGTACTATCAAGTATATTGTTTAGAATTATTTATTTTGCCTTTTTGTATGGTATATATTATTTATTATTGAGTATACTATCAAGTATATTAATATTGCGTTAGTATTAGTATTAATATGAAATCCACTATAGCATTTAATTGTAGAATAATATACTGCACCTGCACACTTTATCTGTGACAATGTTTGTTCTATATTCGCTATGGATTTTTACGAATTTTTATATTTTCATCAACGTGACTGAAGAATTTTGAATGTAAATGATGGGTTTCATGTACTAAATATTATTGTAAATACTCTATTACGTACAGATTGCCAATAAGAATAATACTATCTAAAATAATTCTCGTTACCCATTGGTCTTATCGAAGAACTTTTCAAACGCGAGTGCAATGAAACGTCGAATATAGAGAAAATATTTGAAAAATCCATGTCGCAAAAGGTTCACAAGATATTGCAAGCGCAATAAATGCTGCGATTGCTGAATGAGTCGATAGAACTACTTACATGTATATCTACAAACTACTTCAATATCGATAAGATTTGCGTGAACAGTAAACGATCGAACGATCAATGAAAGGGACAAAAATGGTAGTTGATTCGAAAGAAATTGTTGTCGTGGACTGCCAAGCGGAAAATCGGCTTCTTACAAGAATTCATGCGAAAACGATCCGAGCGTGGATCCGCTCTCGTAACTTCGAACCATTCGAGCAACGAATTGCGGCGTCGTATGTTCGCATACTTTGTACTCACGTAGGGAAACACGCGTCTCTTTTGGCAAATAGAAAGTCGATTAATCGACAAATCAATTTTTTAATTAAATTAAATCGATTAATTGCTATTTGTACAATGATACGTTGTAGATAAGGTGGAATTACAGTTTATCTAATGTGATAGAGAATCGCGGGAAAATATTAACATAACCATATATATATGTAGTTTGAAATAATGAGACTACGTAAATACATTTATCTTCTTGTTTGTTCGTTCTATTCTAGGATTTTTCTATACAGTCGTTATCGTAATTAATCTTTTGTGTCGTGGATTTCTATGCGTTCGTATAGGAAACTTAACATACACAGAATGCGCACGATTTGCCAAAATGTACAAAATATCCGAAATATAGCACTCTGTATAATTTTTGATAGATAAAACGATCTTCTACCTAAGCCTCGTTTCTTCGATTATTCTTATAAAAATATGAATTTCGCATAAAGAGTCGTCGATATCCACCTTCTTCTTATATTTATAATATCCACAAAAGTATGAATTTTTCGACTATTTATAAATGTGAAAAATATGAATTTCGCATAAATATGCACACTGTACTAATTATATTAGTCAAGAATCGATATCCACCTTCTTGTTATATTTACTATATCCACAAAAATATGAATTTCTCGAGTGTTTATAAATATGAAAGATGTGAATGTTCATTGGATTCATAAAAATATGGATTTTCCACACATATGCACACTGTACTAATTATATTAGTCAAAAGTCGATATCCACCTTCTTCTTATATTTACTGTATCCACAAAAATATGAATTTCTCGAGTGTTTATAAATATGAAAGATATGAATGTTCATTGGATTCATAAAAATATGGATTTTCCACACATATGCACACTGTACTAATTATATTAGTCAAAAGTCGATATCCACCTTTTCCTTATATTTACTGTATCCACAAAAGTATGAATTTCTCGAGTGTTTATAAATATGAAAGATATGAATGTTCATTGGATTCATAAAAATATGGATTTTCCACACATATGCACACTGTACTAATTATATTAGTCAAAAGTCGATATCCACCTTCTTCTTATATTTACTGTATCCACAAAAATATGAATTTCTCGAGTGTTTATAAATATGAAAGATGTGAATGTTCATTGGATTCATAAAAATATGGATTTTGTATAAATATGACAGAGTCCGATAATTATATTAACGTAGAGTCGGCAGCGACAGATGGAACTGAGAAGTTTTATTAGGCTCTCGGAGTTGCTTCTATTACTTCCGTGGTACGAACAATTGCGTCTTATTAGCAGTTATTGTTTTATGAGGCGAGCAAGCGTCGTTTCGCTTCGTTTCTTTTTCCTTTGTGTCTTCTTCGCGTTATATACGACTTCGCGTCTTGTGTTAGATCTGAACGCCTGCTAAAGTGTTACATACTGCGTTATAGATAACGATCGAATCTCGGAAGATGGTATGAATCGGTCGTTTATCACGCAGCGGTGTAGCAATGTTGCTTCCAGATTGTGCAAAATGATCATTAAGATCTGTATATCGATTGTTCGAGGTTGCGTTTCTTGATAACAGTTGGCGTGAATAGGAGAACGACGCTATCGATAAAGTGATCGACTTGAGAAAATTGCGACAACCTCGATCATTTGTGTGTCACATTATGTATATGGATGATAATAGAGTCTATCTGTGTTCTCTTTTCTTGTTTTAATAACGTAATGTACGTTCATCGATATGAACTCATATATGAAAACTAAGTTTTTAGTAAGAAAATTAATATGCAATAGAAAAATCCGAGTTGTTTCTGGCCGCTAAAATATATAGATATTATTTTGCAATATCTATTTTTCCCTTCTTATGCAAAAGATGCCATTGTTTCATTTTTCCACTTGTGAGGCTTCTAATTGATATTGTATGTTTCAATTGATAGACATCAAGATATGTACATAATTATAGAGATTAGATCACAAGTCACAAAGAAAGACTTGGTAATATCTTTCTTTCTTATACATTTCCCTTCTTATGGAAAAGATGCAGTTGTTTCACTTTTCCATTTGCGAGGCTTTTAATTGATGTTACAATTGTATGTTTTAATTGATAAATATCGAAACATATACATTATTATAAATATTAAATATTCTCGATGTTAGACATTCAGAAGGATTTGGTAATATTTCTCATACTTCTTCGTTCTTGTGGAAAAGTGCACTTGTTCCACTTTTTCGCTGACTGCGCCGCCTCTAATTGATATTATTTAAATCGTCTGAATGAAATTAGAAAGCCGTGGCATTACATCAAACAGAAATCGAGAAGTTTAAGGTTAGGCTCGAGTTATCTCAAGAGTAAAAATTCCAGGAGATTTATATCTACCTTATTAACGTGATCCCCCCCCCTTCTCCCTCTGAACGCTTGAATTAATTATCTAAATTGTTTGGATGAAATAGGAAACTAGCTTACACGATATTACATAAAGCAGAACCTAGAACGCTTAAAGTTAGAGTCGAACTATTTCAAGAGTAAAAATCAAGTTTATTTGATCCATTTTTACATCGGAGAATTTAATAACAACTTTGACAAGATTTTTTTCTCTTTCTTTTTTATCTTTATCTTTGGAATTTGAACATGATTATACTTTTTTTTTATCAGAAATTAATACACAGTTCTGAAAGAATTTCCAGTGCCTGTAACTCTATCATCGGGACGCCGTAAAATCCATGAAAAAGTTGATCAAATTTAATACCTTTCTCGCGTCCCATTGACGCTCCGCTTTCTCGTTCGATTTTATTAGCGTTTTCCACGAAGAATCGTTACGTAGTGGCTATTGAATTCGAACGATCGTTCTGAATGGCGACAGTACACGCGTTATCGATCCAGCTTCTCGCACAAAAGCATCGTCAATCTGGTGTTTCCTGTACGGGCGAAGAGCTCACGTGGCATTCGAACGATGACGACGGTCTGACAGTGAATTTTCCGTCACGTTCGATATTCTCCAATCAAAAAAAGAAAAAAAAAAAGACTGAATTTTGTAATATCAGAAAAACCTCGGTTCTCTTGCGTAATAATTTACCAACTAAATGGCCTGCAAATTATTTGTCTCTGTGATAAAACATTCTCGTACTCTAACGAATGCCGTACACCTATTTTTCTGTCGGACTTTCAGCTCTGTTTTTAGTTCTCTATCGAACTTCGAGTTTCTGAAAAAACGCAGCGTCGCTTTTGAAAATAACATTCAATTGTTTATAGTATATTGTTGTAAATTCCATTGATTTGGAAAACAGGATTCGGTTATTTTTACTCTCTGCTCCGAGGCGAATAGCGCCCATTGTAAATTTCCAGAGAACAAACTTTGGAAATCTGGAACAAAAATTGACAAATTATTATTATTATTATTATTCACGGGTATATAACGCGCTCTAGTATACAATTCGGTTACAAGTCGTCTGCGCGTGACAATACTCTATTAATATTATACCTGTTGGAAGATTATCAGCACAAATGCGTTTCGAACGACATGATTTATTGGCGTTGCTATAAACTACGATTTCTTCCGTGTAACGTAAAAAGGCGATTTTAGCTTAAGAAGAGACGGTACTTCGGGGCACATGATCGTGCTATTTAGTATTTTTTACGTGCCATCAGAGTAGGTCAGGCGTAATCCAGCTACGCGATCAAACAGCTGTAAATTTAACTGATCTTTACACGCAATAAGAACAAAGTTAGACGACTTTTGAACGAGGAAGCCACTTACGAGCCATCCTGTACTTTTCTCAAAATTGGGCAAGCGTGTTAACGATAGGGAAAAAAGCGCGATTGCACGTAAAATGATTGAAGGAACACGGCGAGGTCAATTCGAAGATCGGCATCGTAGAAGAATCAGCTTTTCCGAAGGAAATTCCATGGAAACGCGGGAATATCTGGCTTGAGATTTGGCAAGGCAGTAAATTTCTATTTCTCGACGCATAGCGAAAGCGGATCGAAGCTCCGTCACGTCGGCAAATAAATCACGCCGACAACTTTTAATTCCGGTCCCGTTGCGAATTTTCAAACGAACCGGCCACACTTCTTTCATCTTTGCTTAATTGAAATCTGCTGCTGGACAAACGGCTGGAAAAACGCGAGGAATTTCATCAGATGGCTTATCGGAGATACATCGCAAGCGATCGAGATTCTAAATTAAAATTCGAACAAGGAGAAACTAATAAATAAAAAGGAAGATTGCAGTAATTAAAAGAGAAGATCGAAGCATCGCAATTTAATTCTTCTTTCGTTCTCTACACTTTGGATGCTTGCATCCCTTTTTTTCGCTCTTCACGCCGGCTTTAATTTATTCTTCGATTCTTAATGCCGTACTTTTCTCCTTTCTTGGCGTCCCTTCGTAGGTCTTTTCGTTGTTGCAATCCTCTTTTCTATTCTTCCTGATATCGAAACATCAGTTTTTGTTCGTCTATTTCTCGGTATACCACCGTCGTTCTCTTTGATATTTTTCCACTGCTCTCTCTGTCGCTGGCGTATTTTCCTTTTCTTAAATACGCTCTCAGATGTGCACTATCCGCTGCATTAAAATGAGTTTTCACGTTAAAACAAACATCCATATTTAAAAGAAAAATCCACTATTCATTAAGATATTATAATTACTACGGGTATGATTTTATACAAATTTATTCAAATGTCATGCAGATCTAATCTTTCATCTAATTATAATTGAAACAGTGGAAGCTGAATAAAAGTTCGTTTGATTTTCTAAATAATGTAATAAGATGTTTGTACGCTTTGTATCGCTGCTTCGAATCGACAGCGGCCTAACTTAAAACATGCTAATTTTAGACGAAAGGCTTTCTAAAATTTATATTTTTCTTTAAATATTAAAAACAGGCCTTGTTAGTACAACTGTCCTTTGACGTACAACCGATGGATATAAACGTACCGT